TTTATGAGAAAGTGAGAACATTTTTTTATTATAAACATTCACATGTGATACTATTATTCTATCACGTATGATACACACGTAAGACTAAATCAGAGATGCGGACGATTTTTGATGCGATCTTGGTTGCAGGTCAAGTCGCCCTTACACTATTAAGCCCCTCACAAGTATTATCACATGTGATAAGAGTGTTGTTGATATGATAATATAATCCATCAAGACCATCATATGTGATGCTAAATTATAGATGCAGACAATCTTTGACGCGACCTAAGTCGTAGAACACGTCGTCCGCTCATCATAGGATTCCCTCACGCGTAGTATCACATGTGATAAGGGTGTTCTCGCATTCGCGTAAAATGGAGATGTTCTCATTTGAACCTAATACTCTATATATATATATATATATATATATATATATATATATATATATATGGAGGTTCAAATGAGAAGCCGTCAAAATTTTAAGAATCAGAAAAACAATTTTGTTTGAAATTTTCATTTTCAAGTTTTTTTTTTACTAATTATGATAATTATGAAGAAAAATCAAACATTCAAATTTATTTCTTCTTTTTTCTATAATTTTTTGGATATTCATAATCATCCAACTATTCATCTTGAAATTATTAGCGATTTTACAATCCATAAATCGAAGAAAATCTCATCTGCAGGTAATAATTAGGTGTATATTTATTCATATGTGAAAATGTGAATCCTAAGGTTCACATGTTGATAGCTTATATGTGAATTGCTTTAAAACTTATAATCTAGATTCTTAATCTGTTTAAAATCCATATGTGAACATGTGAATTCTAACATAGATACACATGTGAATCTTGATTATAATTTATACGTGAATCAGTATACTACTTATAATCGAGATTCCGAATCAGTTTAAGATTCATATGTAAATCTTAATATATATATATATATATATATATATATATTATCGATCTTAAATTAAAGATGATGAAATTCTCATTTTTTTTTTTGGTATAATTTATTTAAATAATTATTGATTATATTTTGTTTAATTTAATGTAAAATAAAATGAGGAATCTAATTTTTATATAAAAAGGAAAGTAGGTAATTTTTTGAAAAAAAATGAGTGGATTAGTGATTTAATGATATATATACTATATTATAAAACATTTGACAAAAACTCTTAAAACCCATTTTGTATGCATGAAATACTGTTTATTGATGCATATTACTTAAAATTCAATATTACAAGTAATTTTGCGTAAGTACAACTTATTAAAACTTCATTGTTAAATTCGTGTAATTAACTGCAGATAAACATAATCAAATACAGAATAAACATCCATTTTAAACATAGAAATCTAAAATATAATTAAGATAATCATTGAGTTCTATTAGAATGTATAATTATTATCTTTATTAAAAGTTATATTATTAAACCAAAAGTAATTTACTTTGTTATTAAATCTAAATTAAGTTATAATAAAAAAAATTGAATTGGTAAATTGTTGCATACGATGTCGTTTTGGTGGACTAAAATCTTACCCCATAAGTAAATAATAGTGTTAAGTTTTACGGTAAGCACTTACCGGGTAAATGTTTCGTAAACGGCCCCTTAGTAAACAAGTTTAACAAGGTTTTTTGTATTTTTCTTTTAATTGTTAAATAACATTTTAATAATTTAAACTTATATTAACTTTTAATTGTTAAATCTAACTTTAATGTATTTGATTAATTTTTAATAATCTACTACATAATAACATATTCGATTAAAACATACCGCTAATACATATATTGTGAGAGATTCAAATATAAGAAAGGAAAACTTCATATGTGAATCATTGAAACATTTCATTTGAATATTCATATGTGAATCCATATGAATAACTAGTAACGTCGGTTAACATATGCATCTTTAAATAGATCTGTTGCATTTTTTTTCAATAGATTCACATATGATAATCAATTATGAACATGATCTCGATAATTCCATCGAAGTTGTGAGAGAAGTATCACTGATGGAGCTCAAAGTGACGACTGGCGATTGATACTAACGATCGATTCTAATGACATCTTACTCGATATAAACTCTTAAACGTATATGCAAATAATATGTTTTCTAATTAAGAATTTATAATTCTCTTTTTCATTGAATTTTGGAGAATTTAATGATTTAAAGGGTGGATAAATGAAAAGGGGCATCTTTATATCTTGTATTGGAAAGCAGCCATGCATTTTAGTGGTCCTTTTCGTAATTTTATGCAAAATAATTTATGAGGCCATGGGTGATGCTTCTTGATTATGTATGTTTCATTTATAAACTAAGGTTTCGTTTATCTAAATGCTTATCTGGTAAGCTTTTATCATCAAGGTAAACGTTTATCTGGTAAACGTTTATCATTAGGAGTCAATACTATAATTTATTTTACCGGGTAAAATTGTAGTGTATCAAAATGGTATAGTTTGCAACAATTTACTCGGATAAAAAGTATCACCTCTACTCTCCATCTTTATCATTGTTTTTATCGGGTAAGATTTTTGACATTTGTCATGTTCATCTGGTAAGGAAAATTACCTGGAAAGCATTTACCGGGTAAAAGTTTAGTAAATGGTCTCTAGATAACTTTAACTTTTTTTTTATTAACATGGATATCCAACCCGCTATGCGAGCCGAATAATCACAGGCAACCACCTGCTTTGCAGATAGCCCGGAGTCACCGCATTTGAACCTCCGTGGCCACAAAGGGATTTTTATTACTCTATGGATTTGAACATGGGACCTCCTGGTACTTTTGACCTTTGAAGTCAAGCTCAAACCAATGAGGCACCGCCCTTGTGATTAAATAACTTTAACTTTTACAAATAAATATCATAATCAATTTGTAAATTCTACCTTTTCTATCGATTTTTGATACTGCTACTAAAAATGTATAAATATAAAATTCAAACTTTAAATGTCGGTATATTTTTTAATAAATATTTATTTATATATTTTTCATTTATAAATAATTATTATATCGTGTTTATGACTTTTATTGTGATATACAATATTTTTACTAAACAACATTTATAATATTTAATCGATAAAAGTATATCATATATATATATATATATATATATATATATATATATATATATATTAAACGTTATACTTTTTGTTAATAAAACTGTAAGATATTACATTGATTGGAGAAAGGAACAAAGATAGTCTTGCAAGAATCTTGAAACCTCACCTATTAAACGATTTTTAGAACTGTGAGTCCAGGTGTGTGAAAAAATCGAACAATATCTGGTATTGACGTATTGTTGACCTGGGATGTTACAAATAGTATCAAAGTCGGGAACCAAGTTACCAGCGAGGATGTTGGGCTTCCAAGGGGGTGGATTGTAAGATCTCACATTCGTTGGAGGAGGGGAACAAATGTTGTCTTATAAGAGACTTGATACTTCCTCTGACCTCTATTGGACACATTTTAAAATTGTGAGTCCAGATATATGGACAAGCGGACAATATCTGGTACAGTTCACTTAGGATGTTATAAAAACGATAGAATCTTGATTGACATTAATTTCTTGTTAATAAAAGGAAAAGTTGTGCATTATACATAATCGTAATAATAACTGGGGTTGAATTTGGTATGATATCAAGTTCTTTTCTTAAATAAATAAGTCGATGTTATGGTACCACCATGGTACAAGACTTTCAATATTCTGTATCAATCTCATATGATACTACCAACTGATTATTGTTGATATCGATTAAATTGATAATACAGTCAGTACACACAGCGACTGATTTTGATTTGATACAAAATTATCAATCCAAATAATATCAACAATAATAATGATAATGATAATAATATTCCCTTGAGCAATGAGGGTGAAAAGTTTAGAAAGATGCCTTAAATGTTGTTCTTTTGTAAATTACTTTTGGATATGTGATGGATTTAATTTCAAATGGCACTTTCAACTAAAGAAAGAAAACCATGTGTATACTATTAAATGAAGGAAAATAAAAAGGATGATAAAAATAATAATTTAAAACTACAATAAATTATTTATTTACGGTGATATACGATTAATTATGTTTTCGTGTAAATATTCGTCATAAATTTGCTAAACTTATGCTACGGTTTTCTTATTTTTTGTTGTTTCATGTGTGGTAAGAGCGATGTTATCTTTTTGAAATGGTTTTGTAGGATACCAATTATTATTATATGATATGATGATTATCAAATAGTTATATTATATGGGTATTTTTTTTATTAACCTGGATATCCAACCAGCTATGCGAGCTGACTAATCTCATGACGACCACTTGTTTTGCAGATAGCCCGAAGTCGCCGCATTTGAACCTTCGTGGCCACAAGAGGATTTTTATTTCTCCTTGGATTTAAACCTGTGATCTCCTGGTACTTTTGACTTTTGGAGTCAAGCTCAAACCAATCAGATACCACCATTGTTACCCGTTTTCAAAATATTATTAAGAGTAAAAATTACAAATTTCGTCCATATGGTACGAGTTTTGTTTTGGTTTTGTCCATGTCACTAAATCCGCAATTATTTATCATTAACCTCAGTCATATGCCTCTCACATTAGGGAATTTAGTTATTTTATATACAAAGGTGTGTGACACTTCCATAGAAAACCTATATGATCCTTCTCTCCTCATTTTCATCTTTTTTGTGCAAACAAAAGCAACAACGGAGATCATGAAACCAAAGGGCTTTTGGCCCAACGGTATCCTGTAACCACAGTATCATCTCGACCATGCATTCCCACGCACGATTGGAGAAGAAAGGATAGGACCCATGTGCTAACAGAGGTTAACGAGCTCCGATGATGCTTTGTATTTATTCGAAGTAGACAAGGTATTGGGAGAGATGAAGTTTAGGGTTAACGAAGGTGTAACCTTCGATAACATGAGACTCTTGTGGATGGAACAAATATATTTGGTTTTGTAACATGAATGTTTTCAGTACTTTGCTAGCAGTCACTGGGTTTTTTCACACAATCAACACACAAAAATTGTCCATGCAAATTGAGCCAAAGGATTATGTTCCGTCACGAATCATCGATGTGGTACAGCCAAAACCACGGGCAATTTGCTAGCATCCCTACTACAGTTACTCGCCATCAAGTCAGGAATAATAACTCTACCAAATCTCGAAAACAGACATTACACATCTAATCTTATGTTCTAATCAACAGAAAATTGGTAACCGAACATGAGGCTGGCTGGCTGGCTGGTAAGTAATACAAGCAAACATAATACAACTACCTATCCATCATACTCGCCCTGATGGAACTTGTTCTCCGGGTAAAAGCTCGCCACCACTTGGTTCCCACCAAATTTCCTTCCATTCAGTCCTGCCCGTGCTTTCGTTGAACCTTCCGTGTCGAGATATTCCAAGAAAACCTACCAAAATCCAAAGAAAAAGTTGATTACCGAAAAGTAGGAACATATAGCTGTGGGATTAACCAATTTAACAAACAAAAATCCCATCAAACTGGACCAACTAAATGGCTTTTGATGTTTAGGTCTCACTCTCACATGGCTCTCTTTTGACAATATAAATATTTCAATTCTAATCCCGATTTTGGTAAGGGAGCATATCTTAGGTCTCGACATAAATGCTGGCATTATAATCTTCTATTTTTTTTCGTTACCACATGATTTTTCCACCCTACCTCAGCTCGTACGCTTAGACTCTTAACTTACTTGGGCAACGCAAAAATTGAGAAAAGTAGCAGGTTTTAAATTGAACAGCTAATTGTGAGTTGTTTTTTTGATGATTTAACAATATTGAAGAAGGAACTCGGGTGAGTGTTATAAATATATGAGATGAGACAAGACTGAACTAACCTTGCCAACTCCTGGTGCTGGTTCGCCATTAGGATTTGGGCGTGGGATGACCACATTCACCAAGCTACCTGCAAAATTGGAGTAAAATTTGAGATAAAAAAGTTGCTTAGGTGTAGATATCACATATGGAAATAAACAGGCGGTAAGGCAGGCTTCTGTCTGAATGTTAGGGGCAGATTCTTTATAGCAGTATGTGTCATTACAAAAGGCTGTAAAACAGAAAGATATAAAAGAACAACAAAAACAAATAGATTGATAACCAATTTGACAAATTAAAGGAATAAAACATATATATCAACATCAGAAATCGAAACAAAGCTAAAGAATTTTACCAAATTTTTCACATTCTAGTCTCATATCTTCCAATATATCTTCATAATCGTCGTCAACTTTGAGCTCGTCCTCAGTCACCACTTGTGTTAAACATAGAACCTTGGTGGGAGTTGTGCCAATTGCCCCTGGTTGCAACATGAGTCTCTGCAAATAAGATGATGTAAGCCGATGATCAAACTCGTACTGTACTAACTATAAAAATCGGATAATTACAAAGGTTCTTAGCTGTCAGAGCCTGAGTTTCAATAGAATAATCAATGACTACTCACATTCAGCCACCTTATTTATACTAAAACCTACCAACTTACTACCCCTGCAACACCTACTTGTATTACTGCATTAGTCACTTGTACTTTCCTACCACAGACAACCTTTTCACTGCTCCCTCCATCTCAAAAGAAATATCCACAATAAAAAAAAAGCACACAGCTCTAGAAATATGTTATGTAACTATTTTACATTTTTTAAATTAAATAAATGACGATTATACCCTTTATAATAGAGAGAGTAATTAAGTTCTTCATCTCATTCATAAAAGTAGAATTGGAAAGTAGGTCACTTAGTTTTAAAGTCACAACACTTATTTTGGGGAAAACTAAAACATGAATTGTGGACACTTAGATTGAGATGGAGAGGGTATTTGACTTCTTAACCCAGCTACTTATATTGACCACAATACCCATGGTATAACACGAGATTATGACATGATTTTTATCCACCAACTTAATGAGATGATGTTTACCAACCACCTTACTACCCATGCATCACCTACTTATACCATTGCATTAGTGACTTGTACTTCCCTACCACAGCCCACCCTTTTGACTATTTGCCTTCCTAACCCACCACCTATATTTACCGCAATACCCACAGTATAACATGAAATGATGTTGACTATAGCATGCAACTAAGATTGGCAATTGCAACCTGCAGCTTCCATACATTTTTTCAGACAAAGATTGTACAAACGGTAGATGAATAATCAAAGTAGAACTTCTCACCTGCAATGCAATTTGTTGCTGTGCATGTAACAGTACGCTCTCCTGCTCAGGCTTTGGTTGTGTTTGGCCCTGGTTAGCGCGTCTAACCGTAAGGGTTTTGTCACCCATCTTGATACCATTAAGAGCTGCACAAGCAATATCTGTGACGGATAAATCCTGATATACACAGAACGCATAACCTTTCGAGTTGCCAGTTTCTCTGTCCTTCACAAGATCAAATCCCCGAAGAGCCCCAAAAGACTCCAGTAGCTCCCTGACCTGCGCCTCTGTGAAATAATACGGAAGCCCACCCACAAATATGCGGTCTGGACCCTCCAGCCCGCCAGCAGAGCCTGGTGTCAGGCCAACAGCGGCTAGATTCAGGTTCGGGTTGGGTTGACTTGGACCAAGAGTCGCAGCCAGTGAGGGATTATAATCACTAGGTCTCCGGACCTTTACAGGCGCTCCCTGCAAATTGAGTCAAACATGACACCAGATATGAATATAACACAACCATCATCATATGTAAGCACTTATGTCCAGGCACACCTCATTAAAGCAGATGTTCAGTTTCAAGAAAACGACAAAATCTAAACTCATTGGTCAAGAAGGTGGTCCTACAGGTGTCTAGAGATGCTAGAAGCAATCTCAATTCTTAAACAAAATAATGTGCAAATTTTGAATGTACTTTTTACATGCCATCAGCTAACCAAGCCCAAATAGTTTTGGGTGAAAGGCTACTCATTTTGAACCGGTATGCTGGTTGTGAAAGGAAGATAGTCCACAAAGTCTACTCAGATTAAAATACAATTCAATTGGTTAAAAAATGATTAGGAGTAGAAAAAATCGATGCTATATTCCTTAGAAAAATGGAGTAATTAAATGTTCATTTTTGACAAATTTTAACCACATCATATAAGAATTAATAACCTAAAACCAAAAAAAAAATCAATTTAATCTAAAAAAAACTTAAAAGTCACAAGTACCAAAAGATATTGAGTAATATAAAACCATACTCCATCTGCCCCAATATAAATGTCCACAATAAAAATTACACAGTTCTAAAATGTGTGGTACTTTTTAATTTACTAAATGACAATCTCTCCATCATGAAAGTGAACACTTATTTTGAGGCAAGCTAAAATAGATGTGGACATTCATTTTGGGACAGAGGGAGTAGTCAACAATCCAATTACCATCTTGTGTCGAACATACATCGCTAGAAACCAGTATAAAAAGTTCACTTTTTTTAATAGCACGAACATTGAAATATTGGCAGTTACGACAGGTACCTCGAATATAATGCCATCCAAAGCCATTGCATTACTTGCCTCCTCAACAGATCTCATCTCCACAAAAGCAAACTTCTTCTCATGATTAATGTACACATTGACAACAGCATCACCTGATCATATGAGAGTTTTTAGAATGCAAAGCTCAAAAAACTGCAACATTTTAGACAACATGCAATTTACTAACCTGGACCAGCCGTATTTCCACCAATTGCAGACATAACATGGCTAAAAAATGTTGCCACGGACTGCGAAGAAACAAGCGTTATCATTTATGTACACCCGAATCATTTATGTAAATCAGTTACATGAAAGTCAATTTAAGAACTGAAGTAGATTTACAGTTATCTAGCCACCACAGAGCATATATATATGTACAGTCCAAATTCACAAGTTCAAAACTCATAAATATAAATGCAAGGAAATGTAGGCTCTATTCACCATAAAAAGCAAGTAAACAAAGCAGTTAAGCTGGCAATGTACAGATCAATAACATGTATAAATAAAACCATACAAGACATTTATTGAAAGAGGGATAGTATCAAGAGACCTGTTCATTGGCAGTTGGAGAAAGGCCACCAACATAAACCCGCCTTGCATGTCTAGTGGCCTGGATTGCAGCATTTGCAAGAATTTCATACTAAGAACAAAAGAAGAAAAAAAAAAAACAAAGACAACAAGAATTAAAATGTGAAATAATTATATTGTCCAACCTGCTGAGTCATTGCTTGAACTGGCATAACAGGAAGAGCCCCAAACTGCAAATGGCCATGGCAAGAGAAAAATGTAAAAAATAAACAGAAAAAATAGCTTACAGCAAACTATCATTACGGAAGTTGATAAATTACCTGGCCAGATGCCAACGGAAACATATTTTGGAACATTCCAGGAATTGTGGGGGTAGTCCCAGGGACCTGACCTGTAAAAACCGACAAAATCACATCTCCAGTAAAGATAAATGTTTAAACCTTCTCTAGCTAAACCATAGATATAATGGGTAACAACCATCACTCAACCGCCTTTGAAAAATCCAATAGTTTCCAATAATTTGTGAAAAATTATAGAATCTTGCATGTATCTAATGGAAAAGATTATAATCTATATTCAAGCGGCAGATGAAAAATCTGTAAAACTACCAAAACAAGCAAATCCCAGTTGAAGACGAACAAGACCCATCATACCATTGCAATGATTCTTCCTTGTACATAAAAGCTACAGAAGTCGGCTCACACCCATTCTCAGCACAGTGGGGCTAGTAGCCCAACATTGCCTTCTTAGACATAAAACAGAAGATAGAACAAACAAAAAACACCAAACACAAGACAAAACCAAAAGCTCTCTCAGTTCAGAATTATGTCACTAAGTAAACAATAAATAATTCGGAAACATCCAATTTAGGGATGATGACGCTGGAACTCTGTGGGTACAAGTAAAAGAACTAAATTTGCTTACCAAAATAACACCATGCATTTTGGTACGACCATTCCACACTATATCAAAGAGAAAAATAATAGTTATCAAAATATTGAACTCAGTTATAAATGATGGGACATGTACCTGCAGTAACTGCAGCAGCACCAGCCAATATTGCAGAAGCTGGAGGAGCCATGTCAAAACCACTTACTCTTTTGCTGCTACAAACACCAAGGAGAAATTATAAAACTGTCAGTTCACAAACACTATGCAACCGTAATTCTTAAAACTAAACTAGAACAGGATGATTCAAAACAGAAAAGAATGATTCAATATAAATGAGTAAAAATCATATGTGATCTTCCTTTTCTCCGCCTTTATTTATGAAGTAATATTTGGGAAACATGCAGCTAAAACTGTACCATGTGAGTAACGTGACTTTAATAAGCATAACGAACAATTAACAGATGAAAGAAAAAACCTTAATTTCCATAAGGATGTTAACTATAGCAAAAGATAATGTCCCTGACAGCATCCTAACTAACGGAATACCCAACCCTTACCTTTTGGACCGTGAACGAGACCGTGATCTTGACCTATGTTCAGATTTGGCTCTTGAGTGAGAACGAGACCTGTGCCTACCATGTCTATCCTCTCTATCTCTGTCGTAATCTCTCCTCCTGCAAGCAAATTACAAGCCATGACAAAATTAAGATCATAGATTCATAAAGTTTTCAATAATGCCACTATGGCAGAGAGTAACCCGACAAAATCTACCAGAAATAAATGCGTATGTACGAAATATAATGATAAAAATTCCCCAAATACTTGACAACCACAGAGTCCAAAAAAACAGAGAGCATGTGAACAAAATAGCAGTAAGACTATATTACCTATCATAATCTCGACTCCTGTGATAATCATCATCATCTCTATCTCTTCCCCTTTCCCTTCTCTCACTGCGTTCCCTGTAACGGTCCCTGTGCCGATCACGGTCTTTGTCTCGCTCCCTTTCCCTGTCCCGATCTCGGCTTTTTTCCCTATCTTTGTCTTTATCCCTATCCCTTTCCCTGTCACGGTCCTTATCCCGTCCTCTGTCCCTGTCCTTTGACCTGCTTTTTGAGGACTCCTTCTCATAGTCACGAGAACCACGCTGCAAACAGATAAGCAACTATAAGTATTCAAACAAAATGGTAAAAGCGCACGCCAAACTTCCAACATGCAATTTCAACTATAGTCGCATTGAAACCGCATTCTTTGGAGCAATTCTGGAAACATTAAGGTCCAATATCATTGCTTAAAAATATTTGGAAAACTTTTTCAGGAGAGACCGAGAGAGAATATAAGCAAATGACATTGGCACGTCAATTTCAAGGAGCTCTTCCATGTAAGAGTCCCAGATTTTAGTAACCAGAAAGGGAAGTTTAAATCATTAAGACGTGATTTTCATCTATGCAGTTTCTTTGAGGAAGTTTTCCTGCAACACTGCATCTTACAAATTAAGGTAATTACAGTGTCCCATGTTATTTTTCAGTAATGCATCTGTTTCAATTTGATAATGAAAGGGAACTACAACACAGAAGCGAAGGCTTGGAGCTAATCCTTTTATACCTGTAATGATAAGTTGTTCTTTACAAAAAGTTGTTGATAGAAAACAAAAAGAGGTGCCGGACTACAATAATTTTAGGTCATGTGGATTTATTGCGGATTGAATATCTAAAAACACTCCTATTAATGTCTAACTTCTAGGGAAATTTCTTCAAATTATCTACAATTCATATGATGTCTGAAGTTAATCAAACATTCAAAATCAAGCAGCAGGTCCAATTTTGCAGAATGAAACAAGCACTACCTCCTTGCCAAAATTAGGCATCTATTTTGACATTCAATAGTCAATTTCTGAAACCCTAATTCAAAGTCGATAATTCAGTAAACAAGGCCGCTAGAAATCACCAGGGTGACCGCTCATCATCAAATTAATTCATACTCCTAACTAGAATCTTCCGATTATCATAAACCAACTTAGGCAGAATGCCCTCAAATATATTCCTCGATTTTTATCCGAAACCCTAAAACACGAACTACTCAAATAAATCAGCAGAAATCAAAACAACTTTCAATACCTGTGACTTAGAATCGCTGAAATCATCGGTGCCGCCACCACCACCGCCGTGGCTGTTGGCTCTAGCCTGAGGTGACGAGCCGCCGCCAAAGGTTTCAACATCTTCCCCGTTACCTTCGTACCTTTCTTCGTAATCCGTCATCGTGTTGATTTGCTCTCCGATTTCGAGATCTCCTTGTGTCCCTACAATTATCTGTGAAAGGATGTGTTGGTGTTGAAATTAGGGCATGCAAAAGGGGGTTGATAGTCTTGTACGGTACGATGCCTCAGTACTTATACCCAGGACCATGAGCCGCCCAATATCAGGATACTCCCTGGGGAGCCTTCTATTTGTTTTTATTAATTTTCTTAAGCATACATTGATTTCTATTAACTACCTTATTTTATATTCACGCTAACATGATAAATCTCGATTTTAATGTTTAGTTTTTATTCTTTGTCTCTATCGATATAATATAATTTATATGGTTTAAGAAAGCAGTAATGTTTTTAATTTTGAATGAAATATAAATTTAAAGATAGCATAAAAATTTAAAAAGAAAATAGATCGATATTAGTATCAAATTAACTATTTAATAGTTCTTATTTTTTTTTTTTGTATAACTTCTTTAGATTTAAAATAAAATGTTTATTTTATATTTGATTATGTTTATCTGCAGTTAGTTACACAAATTCAAACATGTAATTTTAATTAGTCGTACTTAAGCACGACTTACTTATAATCTTAAATTTTAAGTAATATACATCAATAAAGAGTACTTCATGCATAAAAAACGGTTTCAATAATTTTTGTCAAATGTTTTATAATATAGTATAGATTATTAGATTTTAATGAAAATGAGAGAAATTAATTAAAATAGCTATTTTCAATTGTTAGTTTTATCTTTTAGTCATTTTTCTCCTAAAAATCACCAAAATATTATTACGTTAGTGTCACGTTCGTAATTTGTATCCCAATATTTATCTGTTACATTAGTTATTTGTAAATTCTAGATTTCTGTTTAAAATTAAAAAGAAAAGAAAATTTAAAAATAATTTGATTTCTGTCTTAAAAAAATAAGATTTTTTCATTATTTCTGTTGTCTAGTGCTATTTTATCGGTATCTAAATTTTTATGGGTTAATATTATATGTATCTCGTTTTCTACCCGTTATATTTGTTACTTGCAGTAATTAATTCTATTTTCAAAAAATATAAAAAGTTTAAAACTAGAAAATAAAAAATAAAAAATTAGAATATCTTGGTCTTGAGCTGTCGGTTTCAAATAAAAGATATGTTATATCTGATAAAAATAAGCTCAAGCGTAATTTTGAAAAAGACCACCATCATAGTTTTTTACTCAGTTTGAGGGAAGGAGGAGAGGAGGATACCAATAAGGGGAGGGGAGGAGGATGCAAGAATAGCGCTTATACAAACTTAAATCCTATTTGGTACTCTCTTTAGAGGGCGATCTAAGACACAACGTTAGTCTAAGTAGCATATCTTCCCCATACAAAAACATGCAAATTAAAGACTCAAAAATTAACAAGAGTTATAAAAAAAACAAATGCAAAAACACTAACGCATACATATATAAATTAAATAAACACAGAGACACATACAAGACATAAAACAACATGTAAAAGTCTTATAAAAATCTGGAAATTTGGATTTGATTTTTATATATATTTTTTATTTTATGATTTTTCTGTAGAGAAGTAACAATACTGATGTGATCTCTTTCTCCGGTAGATTCAAAAGACGATAACATAGGCTCACTCCAGCTTTAACTCAATCCGTAATTCTGGGTCACTTAAAATCAACACTGATAATGTAGTAGTTTATTAAGAAATCAGATTTTTGACACTCAAACGCAAACCTTATAAAAACACGTGCATACAAACTTTCAAAAACAACAAATCAATAACATCACTAATGCTGGAGGCTTCTTTATACAGTAAGCTCCAAGCAAGAGGTGTCTTGAAAAATTCTGCATAGGATGACACGTATCATCTATGTGTTTAAAAGTTTGGTACAAGGATGAATTGTCTGCTACATGGAGGAACTGTCTGCTACGTTGAAGAACTGTCTGCTAAGTGTTATTACTGCGTCTGAAAAAAAATCAGATTCTACATGGCGAATATTCTTAAATGAAAATTTTGTCATCTTCCGCCTTATTGCTATATTTCTAAGTATTGAGGTTATGCTTCGAAACAGAGTCGAAAGAATAGACACCTTCTGAATAATAAACGTTTTGATCTTGATTTGTTGAGCTTGAACGATCTTCAAGAACCGTATCTTCTGAATTATTCTCTTGATTATATTGCGGAACAAAGTCTCTGATTACTTCTTGAATTATTTTAGTGATCTCATTTCTGACTAAAATGTTCTTATAAAGTATTTAAGCAAGCTATAAAATATTTAACGTCTTTTTAGTTTCTACTATAGGTACCCCAAAGATTATCTACTAAGCAACGTTCTTCTTTGTCAAGAGATATATGATTTCGTGTTCTAACAAAAATATTGTTGCAGCTTGGAAAAACGATTAATTCATTGTTATCAAATATAATACATTCTTCATAATAATGTTTATTTTGGCTATTTAAGGTCTCACTAAAAACAGGTCTTGTTGCAAAGTTATTTTCCGGAGGTAACCCTGGTCTTGAAGGTGGTATAGCTATCTGCAAAAATAAAGAACACATTAATAAAATTAATTTGATTTGTCTTCTAATAATTTGCTTAGAATATTTGCAGTGTATTATCAATACATTTACTGTGTTTAATTTCTATAATTAAACCATATTGTTAATTTGATCTAAAAAAAATTAATCAATGTATCTGACTACTCCTTTTGCTTTTATCTTTCATTTTATTGTAGAAAGATACAATTATTTCACAGTATGTTCTAATAGTAATTTTTTTTATATATAATAAAAAACTCAAAACTATCTAAAGCATAATTTATGGCTAATAACTTTGCATCTATGCTACTAATATTACCCGTTCCTTTGTAAATGTCGTTGCTATAGTGACAAGTTTTTCCTTACGTCTTATCTGCATATTTATAGGGTTTACATAAAAGAATAGTTCTCCAACTTTTACTACAACCATCAGTCTCAATTATCAAATAATATGTATCAAGAGGTAAAGCTAACTCTGGTGAAGATTTTGTCTCATTTTTCAACTGCTGCACAATTTAAAAGAGTGAGAGAAGAAGGTACTGTTTAATTCTATATTTTGTATCAAAACAAGAATCACAGACTTGTTGCGGAAGCTATGAAGGTAAGACATGATTCTAAACAATTTAAAAGAATGAGAGAAGAATGTACTCTTTCAAATATGAAGTACTTAGACAGTCCTTCAGATTATGATGTCGATTTTGCCTAAGAAACTATCATTCAAAATTTCTTTCAAAATGGGTGGGTTGCAACAAATGACAAGGATGGCCTTTTATAACCACCATTTCATTAAATGTTGTTGTCCAACTTTAACACGTGTCTTTATCTAAATTGTTGATCCATGCATGCTTGTACTCTTCATTTCAGCATTTGAAGTTGATGTAGACACTTGTTAACCCAACCAATTCTTTTGTATGGAGAGGGAATAGTAAATGAAGTATTGTACTATTAAAAATAATACTTTGGAACTTACTTTGTCTGATATGCCAAACATGTTCCCATATTAGTGTGAGAGTTAGTAGAGTTGGTGAGCCAAACTTGTTGGATAAGTTTGCACTTCAATTTCGGTTTGCCATAAGTAGTATTTGTCATACTACTTTTGACTTTAGCTTGTATTGATCCTTTTTTTTGCTATATGACAATCCAATCTGCTTTGGTGACGACCTTGACCCTACTTCAACGAGTCTTCAATCTTGTTGAAGGTTTTTTATTCTTGGATCAATACATATAGTTACAAGCTTAAACTATTTATGAAGTATGATAATTCAGATGATAATATAACCCTAGAGTATTTATGGGTTTTTGAGAATCAAGACTAATGAGCATATTAATGAATCAATTGGATTATTGCATTCAGATGGAGATTTTATCAAATTTGAGATTTGATCTCAAAATGCTATCTAAGACATAAATCCGAAAGTGATTGAAATCTGAAAATTTATACATTTTTTTTTGTAAGACTAGATTCAGATGTGAGCACTATTTGTTATATCCAATGATTGACTCACTTATGATATAACGATTACAAGGCAAGGATCAAGACTCTTCTTCTAAATGTTATTTTAGATGTCACTTGTATTATTTTCAAATATGATGGTTGAGATAAACAGTTACATATCAAAGATTGAGGTTAGGTTTGGTGTTGTTCATCAAGAGAATCTACGTGACAGTTTTGGCTAAAAGGTAATCGGGTCCCTGTTTGAGGTCAAGTTATGTTAGAGACACTCCAGAGGAGTCAATCGATTTAAGGTAATTGCGATCATTTGAAGTTAACGTCCTTAGGCCATTATCCTTTATATGGTGGCTGGATGATGAGCTGTCAGTCGGACATGTGCCTTGGGTTGTGTGTCGTTCTTGAGCTACCCCATGCATATCCTTTGGTTCAAGGGTGTCTTGGAGAAGAAAATGCATGATATCGATGTTCAGGGGAACTGTTTTGTCAAGGTTTTACTATTGCAAGAAAGAACCAAGTTTCATGTGGGCACCGAGGAAATCTAATGAGTGTGCTATCCAAGTATCTATCAAGGAAGAAATATCTTTTAAGTTGAGAGGATTATAACACCCATAATTCCTTTGTTACTTTTAAGATTTAAATTTTGGGAAACAGTTGGGAAACAATCGAGAAACGATGAAGAAACGATCGAAACGCGATGCAACAAAATAGAAACACGGTAGACTGTTGGTTTTGTAGAAAATGAGTAATCTAATATTTATTTTTTAAAAAAGTGGGCAATTTTTTCGAAGAGTGCATTATGATTCAAGGCTTAGGGGTCGTTTACTAAACGCTTACTTGGTAAGTGCTTACTAGATAAATTTTCTCATCGGATGAACATGACAATGGCCAATAATCTTACTGGGTAAGACCAATGAGAAGGATGGAGAGTCTTACCCAGTAAGTGAAGATGACGACTCTTACCCAAGTAAGTGCTTACCCGGTAAATTATTGCATTCGATATGTTTTGATGTACTAAAATCTTACGCATCAAAGTAAATTATAGTATTGATTCCTATAGATAAGCACTTACTGGATAAACATTTGGGTAGTCAGCCCCTTAGATCAGTGATCTAATTATAAAGACTTTTAAAATGCCCTACTCAACTTCGTTAGGTTTTTTAAACTAGTCATTATTTTGCCTATATTTACATATTTTTCTCTTAAGATCTTGTCCATTGAAAAATCTAATTTAATGATTGAGATCTCTTCTCACCTTCTCAAAAAATGTTGGCTTCTCATTTGAATCTTCCTATATATATTCTTGATATTATAATAATTTTAAAAGAAAATTCAAGAAAATAGGTAAAAAGATTAAACTGCTGCTCATTTAACAAACATTCTTCAATGTTAATGACCAACGATCATTTTCAGAACAAAACGAAAACCACAAGATTCTTGGACTTATCAAAAAATTTGAGTAATTAACCTAAATAACCATGTCGACCTTCTTATTTAAAATTTAGCCACCAATTTTTTTCTTTCAGTTTTGTCCGAACCCCTTAAATTTGACATTGCAAGCCAACTTTTGCTTGCATTGCCTGACTTCTCTGACCAAATCCAACTTTTGGCCTACGGCACCACTAGCTATAATTTTGTACTTGGAAGACGTAAATTTTTCCCGGAATACGTCAGAAAAAGTCTGAAACCGGAACAAAAGGTGGCTTACGGTGTCAGATTTGCTACAACAAATAAAATTGAGAGAAACTTTGTTTGTGACTAAGGGGCCGTTTATCTAAATACTTACCCGGTAAACACTTATTGATAAAATTCAACACTATCGCTTATTTACCAGATAAGATTTTATTCACTAAAGCGTATCGTATGCAACAATTTATCCAGGTAAGCGCTAACCATGGTAAGAGTCTTCGTCATCACTTACAGGGTAAAACTTTCTATTCTTGTCTTCGTTCTTACCGGGTAAGATTTTTAATTCTTGTCATATTCATCCGGTAAAATAAAGTAATTTAATGAACGCTTATCCCGATAAACGTTTGGTAAACGAGACGAAAACCTTAAAAATAAATAAATAAGCCAATATAACTATTTTATATATATATATAGGAGTTGTTGAAATACATTTTAATGTTTTTCTAATAGAAAAAATGTTTTTTTTTTCTATTTTATTGGAAGGAGGGAGTAATTCGTAAATAAATCAATCACTCCCAGACACAGCACCGTAGAAACGTCAACGACTACAAACTGAAATGAAGTGCCCGTACTGTGCGGCGGCGCAGGGGCGGTGCGCCACCACATCCGCCGGTAGGTTTATTACGGAGTGCATATCCTGCGGCCGAGTTGTCGAAGAACGCCAGACCCAATCTCACCATCTCTTCCACATCCGTGCTCAAGACTCTCCTCTCTGCCTTGTTACTTCCGACCTCCCCACACTCCCCCACTCCATCACTGATCAATCCTCCACCACCGCCGTCCCTGTCTCCGAGGAAGAAGAAGAAGACCCTTTCGAGCCTACGGGATTCATAACCGCCTTCTCCACGTGGTCACTAGAACCCTACCCGGTCTTCGCACAATCGTCTCTCTCATTCGCCGGCCACTTAGCTGAACTTGAACGGGTTCTCGAAACAACGTCGTCTTCCTCGGCCTCTGGTCCGTCGGTTGTTGTCGACAACCTTAGGGCTTATCTTCAGATAATCGACGTTGCTTCGCTACTAGGGTTGGATTGCGATATATCCGATCACGCGTTTCAGCTATTCAGGGATTGTTCGTCAGCGACTTGTTTGAGGAATCGGAGCGTAGAGGCACTTGCCACCGCTGCGCTTGTGCAAGCTATTCGTGAGGCTCAAGAGCCTAGAACACTGCAGGTATGTAAAGTATTGGTAGTTTCTGTTGTTTGATTCGACTGCGTATTTCAATTTTTAAATTCATAACTATGTGCGCATTGTTCAAAATTGAAATAAGAATTTGTTAATTGCTATTCATTTTTGCTGCATCCATGAAATTGAGGCTTAACTATTGATGGAAGCTCTAATCATCTAAGGATTTTGAGATACCATAAAAAACAATTACAGACATATGTAACAAGTTCGGGCTGTTGTAAATAAACCGAACCGAATCAAACGAACAAGTATATTCTCTTATAATTAGGAACACTGTCGTTTTTTTTTCTTTTCCAAACTTCGATTGGAATTGAGCTGTAGACTGTAGTAAATTGGGTTCAGATTAGAAGATTTCTTTCTTTAGATGCATGATTTGGGGGTTCTTTTCTACGTTGTTGATGATGATGGTGGAAGTGGCAGGGCAAGACTTGAACGGTGGTCTACAACAGTGGGTGGTGGTGGTTGAATCGGAGGAATTGGCAGGTGCAAAGCGGAAATAAGAGTAGGTCTGTCTATTGCTTATGATAGGGCACTGTAAGGGGGATGTAGCAACGACAGACATTAAATGTGGAGTCGGAGTTAAAGGAGATGCATGGAATTCAGCTCTTCAAAGGAGGTGGAGATTGATGGTTGAGATGAGTCTAACCGGAAGGATGTGGTCATGTAGGGGAATTGATGGTGAAGGCCTCGATGAGAAAGTGCGTTATAGTTTCCAGAGGAAAGGGATTAGATGTAACCGATAACATAAGTGCTCTGTTTCTCTCTCTGGCACAAAAAGTATACAGACACACATAATATTTGCATTTTTTTCTTTCCATAATGAGTCCTATAGACATGACCATATATACTCAAGTTTTACAATACACAACTTCATGTTTGCATCTTTGGTAATCAGGCATTTTTTATTTTCATATGGTTTCACCATTTAGATCAAGTAGATGAACCCACCATCTAGAAAAATTGCAGCTTGCTCTTGTAGTAAACCAAACCAATCCAGACCAACTGACCCGGTAAATCCCATTTGAAAGTAGGGTCGTTTGGTCGTGTGGGGTGTACGCAGACCTGCCATGTACCCGAGGAGTAGAGTGGTTGTTTCCGTGAAGACCCCTGGATTCTTGCTCTTGTAGTCTAAGGGTCTGTTTGTTAGCAGCTTAATGAGACGCGCAGCTTATTCGGTCAGCTATAAATGACTGTTTGGTAGTGGCTTAACGATATAGAAAATGGCTTATCCAGTAAGCTTCTAGGGGGGAGCTTCATGCAGAAAGCCAAGGTTTTTTAGAATCTGCCCTTCCCAAATAAAAAACATGCTCATTTCATCTATGGAAAAACCCTCCCAAACAAAGACCTTCCTAATCTATTTGGATAGATTAATCCACACAGACAGCTTTATCCAAACAGCCATAATGGCAAACCAACCAAACAGCCCCCAAGTCCATACACATTACAAGCTTGTTGAACTGTAACAGTAGTTCACATGGATCTGCATAACATCTGAAATATGAACATTTCTCACCTATGTGGAAACAACCGCTCTACTCTTTGGGGGTAGTGATCGGGTTGCATAAATCTTACCCTTCTGAGACCCCGTATACTAGGTTCGTCTGCTTTGGTTTATGGCATATCATAAGCACGTGGCATGAGGACTTTATCTTTTTGATGATTTTACATGATCTGCAGTTGGTTCTGCATAATCTTTAAGGTTGATATAGAGTCAATGTTATTTTTCCGATGAATTACAAAACTAGTAAAATATTACCAATGATAATGACCTTCAACTTGTCAAACAGGAAATCTCAATTGCAGCCAATTTACCTCAGAAAGAGATTGGGAAGTACATCAAGATTCTTGGAGAAGCCTTGCAACTAAGCCAGCCATTAAACAGCAATTCCATCTCGGTGCATATGCCTAGATTCTGCACTCTTCTCCAGCTTAACAAATCTGCCCAGGTATGATTCCGATGGTGTTTATTGTTTTGATTTGGCCATGGAAATATATGGTTTTAATCTTTGTTTTCAAATTGAAAACACTGGAAAATCTTTTGTTTCCAACTTGTTATTGAGCGTTATTTTTAGTTCTTCCAATATGCTCCATCCTTTCCAAATGTTAGTTGTTTTAAAGTATCATCAACGTATTTGTTTTTGGTGTTTCTGTATTTACTGTTTCTAAGCTTGGTAAACTGGATAAAAACGGCGTTTGTTAACTGTTTATGTTTTTGGAAAACCAAATTCTCTTTACAAAGTGGTATTATGAAAAAGAACATGTATTGATTACTTGAGTTAATGTGGCTGAAGTTTTCAGACTCAATGAAACACAATCTTTTAAATCTTATTGTAACAAATTTAGATGTTATATATTTTTGAGAATAAAAGGCTTACCTAATGATACAAACATAAAACAGACATGCAAGTGTTGGCAAATAATGCTGCTTAAGGTTTTAGCTTACTGATTTAGGAATGTAATAGCCGGGGCCCGGGGGGTATTCATGGAAACCGTCTCTCTACTCCTCGGGTAGATATAAGGTTTCTTTACATGTTACCCTCCCCAGACCCTGCTTTCTTTCGTTTGGTTTGGTTATCTAGGAATGCAATTATTAAAGATGGTCTGGTCTTTTTTTCTTTTTCTTTCTGAAGTAGTATTAAAGTCAGTTTCTGAATTACTACATACTCGATTGCAAAAAGATGCAACACTTTCTGTTTGGGTTGTTTTGGAAAATGCAACATGTTCTGTTTAGTAAGATCCCAATCAAAGTTTGCCTATTTACCATTAACAATCATTAAAATATATTGATGAAATTGATTTTGGTTCTCAAGTGTTGTTTTGTTAAGAGGATTTTTAGATATTTGATTATTAGTTTTAGATCTCTTGACCATCAGGCACAACCTTTAAAGACCTAGTGGTACATTGGATACAGGTCCATATCCATGGGGGGTGCATTTGGTACGTGTGACAGGAAAGAACATAAACTTTTTGGCACAACATTAGGGGCTGTTTGGTTGTTTTTTCACCAAGTCTTTATGGATAAAACTGTATGTATGGATTAATCTGTGTTTATAGATTGATAAGAGTTTTTTGTTTGAGATAATTTTTTCATAGATGGAAGGACCATGTTTTTTTTAATTGGGAGGGGCGAGTATGGGAAAAACTTGGCTTTTTGCATAAAGTTCCCTTAGAAGCTTTACTGAATAAGCCGCTTTCTATATCACTAAGCCACTACCAAACAATCATGTATAGTTGACCAATATGCTGCGAGTCCCATTAAGCTCATTAAAGTGCTAACAAACAGACCCTTAGACTTGGATACCGGATAGGACGGGACTGAGTGGGACCAAAAGGCACTTTTTCCATTCCAACACAATAGGTGGAAGAAAAATAAGGGAGAGTAGACAAGAATGGTAATTACTTAAATACCCTTTTTGAGTTAAAACCATAAAACCTTCCGTAATTCTTCCATCCACCTACCTCACTTCCCGTCCAGTTCAATCTGTCCAGTCCCATCCGCGTACCAAATAGGATTGTCTGTTATTATTATATGTTACGTTTGTAGCTTTAAGTTTCTTGAATCCAGTAAAAACACTCGGCTGCATCACCCTTTTCCAGGAGCTGGCAACTCATATCGGTGAAGTCGTGATCAACAAGTGTTTCTGTACACGTAGGAATCCCATCAGCATCTCCGCAGCCGCCATATATTTAGCCTCTCAACTTGAAGATAAACGCAAAACACAAGCGGAGATTTGTAAGGTCACCGGACTCACGGAAGTCACTCTTCGTAAAGTCTACAAAGAACTATTGGAAAACTGGGATGATCTTCTTCCTTCCAATTACACACCCGCAATACCTCCCGAAAAAGCATTTCCCACCGCCACAATCGCTTCAGGACGTTCTTCTTCAACATCCAGAATCAACGACGGTATAGAAGCTGAAATTAAACCCGTAGAAAGTACCAGTGACCACCCATGGAAGTTTCCAAGTCAAAGTTCCCAAGAAATGGATGTAGATTGTGGAGTTATCATCTCCGAAGAGTTGGAAAAGAAGCGCAGCAGCGGTGGCGGTAATACGCGGTTTTGGCCTCCGGTGGTTTCTTCTTTTGCTACACCGGGGAGCTCTCAAGCAAATGCTAGATCTATGCAAAAGCCGGAGGTGGTTTCAAGTATCGGAGACCTTAACAGACATGGTAATGATAATCGAAGCTAATATCTTTTCTGCTATGCCGATGACCGTTTGTAGATTATGTTAACGTCGATTTTATATTTCGGGTTCTCTTGGATGTTTGATTTGGATTTTAGGAAGTGAATGGTTGTGTTTTGTTCAATGGTGTTTTTGTCTTTGTACATAAAGCTCTTCTTGAAAGCTTATTGAATAAAGTTCTTCTTGAAAGCTTATTGAATAAACAGTCTTTTTGTATCATTAAGCCACTATAAAACAACCATGTATAGCTGATCGAATAAGAAAGAAAGAATTAAAAAATTATCATGAGATAAATTCTATTAGAATGAGATTTACTATTTGTGGGAAAATGACAAATATCATTTATGATAAGGATAAGTTTCTCAATCCATTACCGATTAAACTTATCGGTAATATTCTCGGTCATCAAAATATATTGTTGGTAAATGTTTCTTACTCGATAAGCGTTAAGTGGGTTAACGTCTTTTTACTCACTTATCTAATAATTTTTTTTATTCTTACTACGTCTTTTAAGATTTTCAGTTATTGTCATATCGGTGGTTTGTTACAGTTTTGTGATTTTTGTTTCTATGATTTATAATTTATTGTTAGGGTGAATATGGTATTGTATCGTTTCTTTTTCAAATACCATGTACCAATCAATAATAATTGGTACACAAAATTTTATACCATCTATCAACTAACCATACTTGGTACCAACCTTTTTTGGTTGGCCATCCAACCAAAAGTTGAAGTTATAAATTTATTTATATTAACACCTTACCAACTAACATGTTGATATGTGTCTTACATGGACTAATTTCTATCTTTAAGTACAAGGGATCAAAATAGTAAATAATTGTAAACCATAGGGACCAAAAAAACAATAAATTATAAATCATAAGTCGAAAACAATAATGAATTATAAACCATAGAGATGAAACCTACAATTTCTAATCCATAAGAACGAAAATCGTAATTTTTAACAAACCACAAGGACGAGAAACATAATTTATTCTAATATATATCTATATTATATTATAAAACACTTGAGACAAAGTTTTAAAAACCATTTTAATGCATTGAATATTGTTTAATGATGTATATTACTTAAAATTCAAGATTACAAGTAAATGGTGCATGAGTACAATTTTTTAAAGCTACATGTTTGAATTCATATAACTAACTGATATACATAATAAAATACAGAATAAACATCTCATTTTAAATATAAATAATATAAAATATAATTAAGATAATTATTATCTTTATAGAAAAATTATGGTATTAAACCTAGAATAAATTATTTCGTTATTAACATTTAAATTAAATTTTAAATAAAAAAATTGTATTAAAAAGTTATCTTTATAAAAACACGTTATTTTATTAAATTTAAAATAAATTACTTCGTTATTAAAGCTAATTAAATTATAATAAAAAATTAAACTAAAAATCATAGAAAATGAAAACTTTTAATTGTTAATTTGATCTTAATATCAATATATATATATTTTTAAATTTTATGAGGTCTTCAAGTTTATATTTTATTCAAATACAAAAAATTACCGTTTTCTCAAAACCATACAAACCGTATTATAAAATCACAAAGACAAAGAATAAAACGAAACATTAAAACTGAGATGCATCGCGCTACATTGCACGAGTATGTTTCTAGTTATGTTATAAAGCGTTAGAGACAAAATCTTAACAACTATTTTTTATGCATCAAGTGCTATATCGATGTATGATACTTAAAATTCAAGATTACAAGTAAAACGGTATATGAATATAACTAACTGATAAACATAATCAAATACGGTATAAATATCTTATTTTAAATATAAAAAATCCAAACTATAATTAAGATAATCATTGAGTTTTAACAGAATATTTAATTATTATCATCATTTACATTATTAAATTTAAAATAAATTACAACATCATTACACCTAAATTACATTATAATAAAAAATTAAATTAAACAAATTATATAAAAAATGAAAACTTTAAACTGTAAATTTGATGATATCAGTTAGGGGTGCTCATGTGTTGGGTTAATCGGGTTGAAGACATTTGAACAACTCAACTCAATGCTTGCGGTTTGAAAAATCTTAACCCAACCCATCCCAAACGAAAGTGCAACCCAACCCAAATCGTACGAGTTGGTCAGGTTGATACTTTGATACATTAAAGTATTCTTCTAACATTGAATATGTTATTTCTTTACTCATAATTTTTTTTTCATCATCAACCATTTGATACAACTTATCCATATTTATTACGTATATCACATTCTTCTCTCAATTTACATATATATGTTTATAGTTACTGAACATATATGCGAATGAGTTATATAGAGATGTGAATAGATTGAAAAAATGTGTATATAAATAGCGTACGTAATAGTGTAATTGTCTAGTGTATATATTAATAAAAATTCAACAATCATATTAAATCAAAAAAAATATATGGATATCGGGTTCATCAGGTTGGATTGAGTTCAAATAATAATAACCCAATATCACCCAATACATACGATTTGAAAAATTTACAACTCGATTAGACATCGGATTACTTCGGGTTGAGTTATTTGGCGTTGGGTTGGGTTGATCGAGTTTTTGAGCACCCCTACTATCAGTATCATTTTTTAAAATTTTTATGACGTCTTCAAATTCATATTTCGTACATAAAAATATTTCACTGTTATTAAAATAAGATAAAACCATATTATAAAAACGACAAATACAAATAATAGAATTATGGATACATTAAAATCGGAATGTACGATGTAGACTTCTAGTAATATAAATACATAAATTTAGGGAGAATTCCGCGAAGTTGACCTTAAAAGGACTTTCCAGCGGGTCTACTGCCGAGAGCTGATAAGGGTTTAGCACTTCAGTTCAGCGGTTGTTCATTTCTTCTTGATCGCTTCAAGCCTTCATCACTTTCATGAGGTATTACGCCATTATGATCATGATCGTGATCATGATCGTGTGCTTTTAACTCCAATTCGCCATAATTATTTCAAATCATCTCAAGCTTTATCTGCCTGATCTTTTCAAATTCATTTCTAGGGTTTTAAATTTCGCTATAATTTTAACTTTTATACAGATGGAAAGTTCTTGTGATTACTTCTTCCACGGATACTTAGTTTTGGAATTTCGTTCTGACGTTAGGTTTTCCGTTCTTGATCATCTGTTTTTCTGTTTTGGTTTCAGTCGCTTCCTTATCTGGGCGATTGGCGTGTTTATTTATTTGAATTCGTTTTCCTAATTCCTCCGATGTTGAAGTTTCACATATTCTGTCTTATTTATGCCCTTACTATCTGAATTTGGCGAAAATTATGTGTGGTAAACATCTACAACTTGTAGCTGATTGTTTATATTCTGATCGTGGAATGGGAGAATGTTAATGTAGATAGCATGACTAATTATTTCGGAAATAGATCCATTTTCTCAAATTTGCAAATGTTAATGAGATAGGTTATCTCGAGTGATGATTTGAGGGAAATAGATCTTTCAATGCTCACCAGGAACCTTAGAACATATTTATCTTTTGCGCAGTGGCCCTAATTGGGAAATAGGGTGAATTCTGTTTTATTCTTTGGGATGATATTCTCATTGTTTTGGGATGGCAGGATAGTGTAATGGTGAGCATAATTGTTGGTTTTCCCCTGTTCCAGAACTAGTACACCTAAAGAATGATTTGAGGATATGTGCTAAAGTTCAAGGACTCCTACTCTGAGACAATTTGTTTTCACATAGTAGATTCTTATTGTGGAATGGGAGGGTTTATTGTCATTATATGATCATAAGGTTTTGAAGTCGGAAGTCGTATTTCTTCATTTGATATGAAATTTTGTGATGATCTTATTAAAATCTATCATGGTGATGGTATTAAATACCCATCTGTAGTAGTTGGAAATGATTTGAGTATACGGATTTTACCTCGAGTTTTTAATCGTTCCCAACTAACAAATAGGTTAAAGAGTAAGTATTTCATAGTAGTTTGTACTGGGTTTTCAACTTTGGATGAAATGAATTCAATTTTGCCTCTACTGAAAAAGCGATCAATGCCAAACATACCCTGCACTGGTTTAAATTCTTCTTCTATCTTCTTGTCAGTGCTACACCTTCTTTAATATGCTGAATATGCTTTAAACGGTTTCTACTCATCTCCCTTAATAGAGTCATGAACTGCTTATGTGCTTTTATCGTGTATGTGATCATTTGAGAGTGTTGAAGCTTGTTGTTCCTGTTGTTTGTATGAAAATCTTTTCTATCTCTGTTCCATTGAAACTAGTTCGCCTTGACGTTTGTAATTGCCGTGGTATGAAAATATTGTTATCAGTCTGCTCCAAACCTAGTGCAACTTGGTGATCCATGTCCTGGTTAGGTGATATCAAAACCCACTGCCCTCATGTCTTCTTTCCGTAAAGTGGCATCTGGTCCATCGTTCATCCTTTGAATATGTTTTTCTTCTTTTTCTTTTTGGTAAGAGCGCTTGTTGCAATGCATCTCGAACCATTCCCTAAGCTAAATATTTTTCAATTGGGTTCGTTTATTGATCTTAGAGAACTGCTAGGAAACTCGTAAGATACGAGATTCTCTTGAGCAACACATAGCAATACGAAAAGTAAACAATGCAGAAAGACACAGATATTATGTGGTTTGGTCCAGAATATACATACTCTATGGCCACACTGGCTGAATTTCCATCTGGGTGTAGGCCATGAAACAGAATTTCCTTATAGGGGTGCTGCCCCTTTAACCCCTGTTCGCTGAGGGGCAGCAAGACCCCTGGCCGAGGCGCTCGTTCCCTCGGGCTCTTGCAAGTGTCGTGGCAATCAAACGTTATGCAACATCATACTCCGCACCCAACATGAACTTCATAAAAAAGCAAGCATGACTAGAGTTCTTGAATTTGATGGGCTAGAATAGAGCATTCAACCGCAAAAGACATAATTTGAGCCAACCAAAAAACTGACAAATGAAAAAATTATGTTCTTTTCTTTGTACAACATGAATATTGTCTTCTGGATGGTTCTTTTTTATTCTCTTGATGTGGGCTTATTTTTGCCTTATTTTCTTTGTGTTCTGCCTTACTTGTTTTGTGTGTGTTTTGTCTTACCTTATCTAGTGTATGTTTTCAATGCACCTACTTGTTCTATTTTTTCTTATTTTCTCATTCTATGTTCACCATATGCTAGTACTTGTTCCTTCTACATGTTTGTTCACGCTCTTGCACAAGCGGGGGTCTTCAGAGAAAAGTCACTTTGAACTTTGGGGGTATAGGTCAGGTCTGCCTACATCTCACCCCCTGACCCCCCAACGCTCTACCTTCAAGTGGGATTTACTGGGTCAATTTGGTTTGGTTTTTATGTGGGCTTATTTTGGCTGTGAAAATTTTGAACCATGTTTGCAGTTTGAGTTGCTGAAATTTCTTTATTGACAATGGATGGTGGTAAAAACCCTGGCAAATTCTTTGGAACTAGGAACAACAAGATCTACATGGACCTTAAGCTCATAATAAGGGAGCATGCTCTTCAATTTCTTCCTGCAAAATCACTGTTTAAGTTCAGGGGAGTTTGCAGGGATTGGAAGCTCATGATCTCAACCCCTTTCTTTGCCCACAACCAATCCCTTTCCTTCTCTTCTGTTTCAGGCCTTTTTCTCCAAACCTCTGGAGGCCAACCAACTTTCATATCGCTCGACCCCGAAGCTTGTGGCGTTCCAGACCCCTCCCTGAAGTTCCTTCCCGTCCCAGTTGACATTGTGGCTTCATCCAATGGATTACTCTGTTGCCAGGCTCAAACCGGAGATAAAGCATACTATATCTGTAATCCTGCAACTATGCAATGGAAAAAACTCCCGAAACCGACCATGGAACATGGCCATGAACCTGCTGTTGTTCTCATTTTCAAACCTTCGTTACTGAACTTTGTAGCCGAGTACAAACTGATTTGTGGGTTCCGCTCTGTTGATATGGATGATGCCACTGAATTCGAAATCTATTCGTCAAAAGACGAGTCATGGAAGGTTTCTGGGGAGATGAACTATGCTGCCAAGAAGCTGATTCCTAAATCTGGTGTGAGCATTAATGATGTCGCCTATTGGCAAACGTGTTACGGAGGTATTTTGGCGTTTGATTTAACGAAAGACAGGTCTCAACTCATCCATGGATGTCACAGTACTAACGGGACTTTAGGGGAAATGAACGGGAAGCTTTGTACCGCTTTCACGTTCGGGCATACGTTAACGGTTAGTGTTATTTCCAACATTTATTCCAACACGATGCAAATGAGCAGCCAGGCGAGACTTTGGGATGACAAGGTGCGGGTCCCGCTGAGCAATGAAGTACTCGACGGCAACTTATATGATCAATTTCCGGTTTTGTATGCTGGGAGTGAGGCCGTGTTTCTTTTTAGTGGGCAATGTATATATCGGGTTGATTTAAAGACGAAAGAAGTTAAGTTCGTTGTTGAGGCATCACGGTTTGATCGGAGGGCGATACCATACGTGAATAGCCTTGTTGCGCTCTGAGATTGACGGTTTGCATAGCTATGAACACAAGTTAAGCATGGTTTGTATATGTCGATCATTTTGAACTGTTTAGCAGAAAGTGTCATTTTAACCAAGTAAATGGAGATTGTAGAAATCTCGACTGTTTTTGTGTTGCATGAATCTTTGACCCTTCATTATGATGATCCTTTTGATATGGTGCCTGTAACTTTTTTTTTTATTAACCTTGATATCCAACCTGATATGCGAGCCGACTAATCACAGGATGACCACCTGCTTTCCGGGTAGTCTAGAGTCACCATATTTGAACCTCCGTGGCCAAAGGGGATTTTTATTCCTTCTTGGATTTGAACTTAAGACCTTCAGACACTTTGACCTTTTCTGTCTCATTGATAAATCTGACACATCAATATTATCATATTATAAAGTATTTGAGAAAAAAAAAATTAAAAACCATTTTTTATGCATGAAGTACTGTTTATTGATGCATATTATTTAAAATTCAAGTTTACAAGTAAATTATGCGTAATTACAACTTATTAAAGTTTCATGTATGAATTCGTGTAACTAACTGTGGATAAACATAATCAAATATAGGATAAACATCTTACTTTAAATATAAGAAATTAAAAATATAATTAAGATAATCATTGAGTTTTAACCAAATACTTAATTATTATCTTTATAAAAATTATTTTATTAAACCAAAAATAAAAAATGAATTAAAGAAATATACAAAAAAAAAAGAAATTTTAAATAGTTAGTTTGTACTAATATCAAAAAAATTTCAATTTTTTATGATATATCTTCATATTTATATTTTATTTAAAAATAAAAACATTATCGCTTTCTCAAAACCGAATAGAACTGTATTATAACATCAACTGAGACAAAAAAAAATTGAAACATTAAAATCGAGATATATATCACTGCATTGTGCGAGTATCATTCTAGTATTCTTAATATATTTATTTAATTCATCTTTTAAATGAATAAATTCACGGCTTGTTATAAAACTGATTAATTCATCCTTTCACCAATAAGAATTACTGGTGACCGACTATGCCGGTAAATATTTATCCCCAACCCTACCTCGTCGCCATTGCTCCCATGCAGGTTCTATTCTCCGACACTGGTGAGGGGGTGTGGTGGCTGTTTTAATGAGGAAACGGGTTATGGGTGGTGCATGGAGGAGAAGGGAAAGCAGAGGCGAGTAACGGGCCGTTTACGCAAACGCAGACTCTCATCTATTATATCGGGTGGGATTCTAGTCCATCAAAATGGAGTAACGCTAACCGGGTCAAAGTTGTTTTGGTAAAAATTCACACGCTCGACCAATGACGATATTTCCCTCGACCACAACGTTTGCAACCAGGATTCATATGACGAACGACTATGTTATTTGTGATCATGGTTATCTATGACTACAAAGACCTTAATGAAGGTCTCCTTCAACGACGATATACTAACTACACATGCACATTTGTTACATCCCCATTATACATGGTTTTTATTGCACGAGTAAAGACCAATGCGATCATTAACCACAGAGGATCATGACAGAAAGCCAAGATCCAAGACATTCGATATTAACGGTTTTCTTCATTCGATGGCAATCAAAGTTGACCGTTAGCTTAGTCCTACTAACCAGCTATAAAAGGCCAGAAGATGACAAGAAACAACTCCCAGATCGTCAGAATCTAGACGTATACAAAGTCTACTGACAGAAGCAACTTTTGTTCTTGACTATTTTCCACGAGTGACGTGTTACTTTGATTACATCTTTGTAATTGTAATCATGGACGACGTCCTTGGTTGATATCTATAGCACATAAACAATCTCCTATATCGTCCGTGGTTTTTTACCTCGTTTTAAGGGTTTTTCCACGACACCAATCTTTTGTCTCATTTATCTTTATTTTTTGTTATATGTCTGGTGTTCATTTCAAAGGGGTTAATCTTTAGTTGGTTAAGTTCCACAAACAACTCTTAAATTATATTCAGTGTAATTTTTGGCATAAACAGTTGTCAACCTCACTTGAGACAGTTGCCAACTTGCATATATGTTCATATGTATTTACGAACTAAGATGATTCTACGAACTATAAAAGGAATGAACAATTACCGATTTGTAACCTGTGTAATTAATTAATTATCGATTTACAACTGGTTTGGACATCTCTTCTTAAAATACCCATGTTCACCTATGATTTGGTATCCATCATTTTTAATTAACTACAAATATGCCACAATTGATCTCATCCATAGATTTTAAAAATCAAGGACCAAGATTGGTTCACAAAGTTGACACCAATTACCGGATAAACAAAAGAACATGCCCATAATATATATATATATATATATATATATATTAATTTCCATAATATATATAAAAAACAAAAAACAAAAGAACATGCACCATGAAGCTTGAATGGAAACTTGGAAGGTCAACTGATGTTGGATCTTGGAGCGTATAAAATAGGGTTTCTTTTATGGAAGGGTAGTTGGGGAATTAATGGGAAATTAAATGGCCGAGTCTAAAGGAGTACCATTTACGAGCTGAGCAATTAAGTCATTTGCTTACCAAATAAGCCACAACCGAACATGTACTTATGGCTGAACGAATAAGCCATATAGGTTATAAAGCTCATTAAACCACAACCGAACAACCCCTAGTACGGCATTTGCTATATCGTCTACCCTGATTATAACAAGCATTGCTGTTAAATATAATGTACAAGAATAGCAAGATATCAAAATGTAATCAAATTCATGTTATTATGGTTACTTCATTTCAGCTCTCTAATAACATTAAGCCATAAACTTGCAATAATTAAAGGTTACTATGCATGTAAATCAAGCTGTCTTATTTCTGGTTTGAACATATAGCACGTGCCTGTTACAGCCATGCTTATAAGAGTGTTGTGATAACGTGGTGTATCATGTGCTATTTCACGTGATATTTTTTTTTATCTATGGCTTGGATTTAATGTATTGATAAACATATATTTGTTTCACAATGTACTTGTTTCATATGTATTCGTTCAACAAACACAACCTAACCCGGTGAGACTTTAGTCCACCAATTTACTTGGTAAACGTTAACCGTGGTAAGAGTCATCGCCCTCACTTACCCGGTAAGACTCTTGATTCTTGCATCACTCTTACCGGGTAAGATTCTTGGTCCTTACCATATTCGTAAAAACCTTAAGTCAAATTTCGTTGGTTTCGCACATTACAAAGAAAGCAGTATCGATTGATAATAGGAAATCCAGAAGTTGAACTAGATTTGGTTGTTCTTACTTTACCTCGAAATATCAATGATTTCACAAAGTTGCTATTTGAATAAATGGCCGAGATCAGGATCGTTTAGGTCCAGATCTAACCATCTATTCATCTGCATGTATTCGATGTAATGATCTGGTGGTTTTATGGCACGAGGTTTTCTGGGAACGTAGCCATGAATCCTCTCCAAATCTTTGGCAAGCCAACGTACATAGGCACGGTCCAATGGTGGCACAACCTTCACAAGTACTTCATCTCTTTCTTTTGCGGGTTTGTTTCCCATCTTCTCGATTTTATATCTGAAAAACATATAAATGTATAAAGCCTTTGATAAATCTTTTTATAGAAAAACAAACAACTAGAAGCTCAGAAAACAGTGGTAATTCGAAGCAAATATTATCTAGAATCTAGATCATATTACATTGTCATCTAGCTTATCAGCTAGCTTTTTAACTAGTTTATCATCTAGCTTTTCATCTAACCACCAACTTATAAGCCAACAACTAGTTTGCCAAACATAGCCTTAGTAAGCACAAGATCGAGTGTGTGTATTAAGGGCTTTGATTTTCCAACTTCTAAGAAAGTGTTACAATTTGAATGTGATACACGTATGTATATACATATATGTATATGTATCTTGCCTCCCTCTCTACTTGCATTTCATTGCTAGGCTTTATAGTCATTTAAATATTCCTCAAAGTCGCACATCATTCTCATTGCTACATATTGTTAAGCTTATATGCTTGCTAAGCATATCTTTTTTTCGAAGGGTGTCCCAGGATATGCCTGGACTAATTCCGGCAACTTGTGACTGTAAGAAATCAGCCCTGATAAACTTAGTTGCCACCATTGTTGTGTACGCCTGGAATCGAACCCTGGGCAGATAGGATATTCCACCACATCCCGGCACCTCAACCACTACACCACAACCCTTGTGTTTTGTTAAGCATATCTTGTTGGTTAATTAATTTGAATGTATGTTGTATACCCTTGATTGAGTGATTTCTCCCTTGTGAATGACCCAAGAAAATGCAACCAAAATAATTGCTACATGTCTCCTTTGGTAAAGTTTATTTACCTCTTTACCCTTCAAGGATCATTGCGAAACAGTGATAGAAATAATTTTGGTCCACGCTATTTTGTAACTATAGAGCGTTCAACATTTTCATTAAACTAAGTCTCACTCAAATACACCCATTAAACTACATGCACAATCAAATGTTGTGTTTCATGTTAGGACACAGGGAGTACAAATTTTTTTGACCAGGGGCCGGTCCTGACCTTTCTGATGACCATGGCAAAAAGCCAAAAAAATGCCCCAAGTATATAAAAACAGCAAACAGAACACATTATTTAAGGGGTTTGGTCAAGCTAGGCAGCTAATCCCCACGCTAATTTGATCAAGATGTTTCAAGGTCTATCTTCATGAAAATAGTAAAGTCAGAGCACTCTATCTATTGAGACTTTTAACACACACTTCTCTACGTTTATGGCAACACTTCTCTACAAATACTGTTGTAATACAAAATCCTATTAGTCTTCTTTTCATAATGGTAGTGTTTTGCTTGTATCACAATCTTATGTGAGTTTGAAACTTCCAAATTCATCTTCTCTAATGTTGGTTTTGTAGGTATCTGTGTCTCAGACAAACAACAATCAAGTGTTTAAATATTGAGCCAATGTTACTTACAATTTTGAGTAATCTGCTAAAAAAATTGCCAAGGTCACTTACACGAGGTAGAATATGAAGACAAGTACTTATGTGATCATAACTTAAACAACTGAAACCATATATAGTGACATGTTCAAATAAGAAAGCTAAATATTATGAGAAGATAAGAAGGGAAAGGTTAATACGTAATCCATTAAAAAAACCTGTTTCAAGATGCATATGTGAACCAACATTACAAATTATTCATATGGGTTCACATATGCACCTTCAAATGAATTTTTATAATGATTCACATAGGAATCTTCACTTCTTAGATCTTACCTTCTCACGAATATTTAGCATTCTTATTGAACCTCCCGTCACTCACACACACACACACACACACACACATATATATATATATATATATATATTTCCCAATAAACCTTGAGAATAGTGGCAGTGAGTTTGCAAATCATGGCAATTAGTACTTGGAAATGAATATAAGAATTAGAACATGGCACAAAAAGTACACTGCTTTTTTCTATTTGAGTCCTCACTCCTCAGAATTCGAAGCACATTCTCCTGATTGTGCCATTGTAACTATAGGAACCATCTTGATTAGATTATATCCAAGGATCATAATAGATGTTAAAAATCATATAATCATACACAGTAAACTCAACCAAAAATTAGAATTGAAAATGCAGTAAACCAAAAATCGGAATTGGAAAAACACTAAATCAAAAATCGAAATTTTACTCTTCTATTTCCTAAATTTACAAAGATAATGATCAATCATATAAACCTAAAATCTTAAATACCTAATAAAAAATCATCTAAGCCTCTATGTACTTGTTACTAAAACATCAACAATACTAAAACTAATTACTAGTGACTAACCGTGAATCAAGATTTCAAATGCGAGATCCATGAGAGGTTTTCGTCTAGGTTTAGCCGTGAATCGATAGATGAAGAGACCACAGCTCCACACAAACACAGAAACACTATAACAGATGAAAAACAATATGGGAGTTGGGGTTTTATGGGCCTTGCTGTCCGTGGCCATTGCCCTTATGGGCCTTATGGTCGTGTATTAGTTCTGAATAATGCTTCTTGATCTTAATGGGAAATAATTGTTTGAGTATAAAGCAAGTGGACTCATTTTAAATTGGTACAAGCATGCTACCAACCCAAATCAAAAGTATCCAATATATCACACCTAAATGTAGGATCTAGGAAGGGTAGGATGTAAATAGACCTTACATTTATCTGGAGAGACAGAGAAGCTGTTTCGAAGGTAATCAGAACATTTAAGAGAATCATAGTCCCACCATCACATCCCAACAAGATGAACGCAAGCAATTTGACATGCTTACATGCTAGCGTGACACTTTGACATAGTCAAATCTTAAATAGATCTTCATAAGTTACAAAAGAAGATCAAATGAGGATGCTCCTGACTTTAAGGTTAGTGGACTAATTTTCAAACTCATCTACATCAATGTTTTTCATTTGCAGAAAAATGTTGGTAACAAGATTAAACTTCATAAACATAACATACAGAGAAATCTTAAATGCTCAATTTACAACAACATTCATGTCACAATCAAATGCTATTTGACCTTAAAATGCTTTTCATGATTCACTCAATCCCAGTTATAAGACATTTACCAAACCTTGTGAAAAGCACCATTTTTAGGGCTCAATTTCGTATCCCTAAAAGGTTGGACCACTAGACCTAGTTTCAACACTTCAAATCCACGAGTGCTATCAAACACGAATGTTTGCAATTATAATTGCAATTTATTAGTTAACGATTAATAAAACTGTGCTCCTAATTGTCTTTTACGATCGACACTAACAAGATATCGCGCTTCACACTAACCCTAAAACGAAAAAATTGACAAGAATTCCATGAAGCAAATACAGCCAAAAACTAGAATCCAATGCACGAAATTGACATTGACCTAAAAGAAGGCAGAATTGTGAATCAAAAAAGTAGTTATAAATTGAAAAACAACACAAATTACCAGGCTACAATGCTACATAACATCCAACGATGATATGGAAATACAAACGACTAATCGGTGAGAGAAAGGATAACCAGAATGAAAAGAAAATAGTACCAGAGAGTTACAGACGGTGGCGGAGATAAGGCAACTGTGATTTGAATTGAAGCTCTTCAAAGGCATAATAAAGCTATGGCGGGTAGTGTCCTTTGTCATATCCTCCTCCACCACCAACTACTACCATTGGAATTTATCGTTAACGAGGCGTTGAAAAAGAAAAGTTGTATAAATTATACAGTTTTTAAGTAATTGTTTTTCCATGATATAGATTTTTAAATGTCAAATTCCATGAAAAGTTATGTATTTTAATTTGATTTTTATTTTGGATAACGTATTTTTAAAACATCCATTTTAGTATCGAAGATGTAAAAAGTATATGGATAACCGGTTTGAATAACCGGTTTGAAGCATTAACTGGTTATCTTGCTGATAAAACAAGTGATGTGGTATCCAACTCAGTATGTTTATCCGATGAAGATATTTATCCAGTAAATACTTACCATATAAGTGTTTAGTAAACGACACCTAGGTTACAAACCAAAAATTAATGGGCTTTGAAAACTCTCACCATTGATCCCTTTCCAAAAACAAATAATAGGAAATAAACACACAAAGGATTCAACATTCTTAGTTATTTAAGTGTGGATGTGTATGATTCATATGATCATAAATTTTCATCGTTTTCAAACATAAATTTCAGACATTTTTTTCTAACGAGATATTGAATTAATTTTTCAATTCTCTCTTTACATTCCGTTGCTTTGCACGAGGATACAACTAGAAAATGTACCATGTTCAATGTTTAAAACTTGAACAGAGTTCATGTAACAAAAGGGAAAACTTGCTACAAAACTCATGATGCAAGTAGCATAAAACCTTTAACTTGACACAAACCGGCAACCCGTTATCATTCGCTTGAACCTCATCCTCTAAATAAATGGAAAAAAACCCGATCCTATTGAAACTAATCATGAATATAATCGAACACCTTGAAGTTGTTGTATATGAGTTGATTGTTGGAATAGTGAAGCATGTAATAGCAAATCCCACAGAAATAGCAAGGATTTTCCGGAGCCCATTTGTCATCCACGGTCACTTTTACTGCTTTGTAAATCTTACAGCTTGAGCACTTCTGGAAACGCACCTTCGATTGGAACATAATCAACGGATATGCGGCTCGATTCTGTACATCTTGTGGATGGATTAATCTCATGTCTCTAATCACCATTACATGCTTACAATCACCCTACAAGATGTCCAAGAATTAGCTATATGTAAATTAACAAATAAAAAAAATGGGAATACGAACCATTACAGTGTAGTTTTATCGGGGTTTTTAGAGCATCCACAATGGCCGTTTTCAGAGAGCTTTTTGGCCAGCTAAGATTGTGAAAAAGCTTCCAACAACAAAATCGCCCCTTTTTGCTTGTCGATCCCATTTCCTTTTGAAAAAGCCTCAATGAAAAGCTCTACCATTGTAGATGCTCTTAGTTTTGGTTGGTTTCCCATTAACTCCTAGATGGATAAAGTTGTCTGTGTGGATTAATTTGTCTGTATAGATTGAGAAGGTTTTTGTTTGGGAGGGTTTTTCATAGATGGAATGAGCACGTTTTACAATTGGGAATGGTAGGTTTGGAAAAAAATTTGTTTTATGCATAAAGCTCCCCATAGAAGCTTACGGAATAAGCCACTGTCTATATCATCAAGCCACTAACAAACAGTCATGTATAGCTCACGAAATAAGCTACGAGTCCGATTTAGCTCATCAAGCTGCTAACAGACAGACCCTTAGTTTGTTGAGGTGGCGCTGAGGTGGCAAAAAAAGGTAGAAAAATGAGGTTCTGCAACAACCTACGCTAGAGATGCCTCTGAACACATGCTCATTCAGGTTTCAGGTTGATCTTGGTAAAAATAATTTCTAAAATAACAACAGGATGAGTTCACACCAGAAAACAAACATGTAATCAGATAATAGGATCCATACCTGATGACAGTACAGATAACCTGCACCAAGTCGGAAACTTAAATCACAAAAGCGTGTTGCCTGCATCGGAAGAGCTTTAAGACGAGGCAATTTTGGTCCATTTCCACTGCCTAAAAGTTCTTTCTGCTTTTGCTGCAATTCACCAGATATAATGCATTCCCACTTTTCAAGTGCAGTTTTTTCAGATACTTTAAGCCAATCAAGTATGGGCTTACTGTAGTCTATAGCATCGGCTTCCCTCAAATCATTATAAAATATATCCTGTAAAAAGTAAAATTTCGATACAAGGGTGAGAAATGATAGAAACAAGCATATGCAAACAACAGAACAGAGATTTAGCAAATTACTTACTTCTATGAGAAAATATCCAGATGGATCGTTCTTGTTGGATAACTTCATGATTTCATCTGTCAAACAATATATTTTGTCCCTGAGTTCTGTTAATAATTGTTGTCCAAGAACCAAGATTTCTTGAGTCTACAAAAAAGCCCAGAAGAACATTAGCAGCAACTTAAGGAAGGAATACCATGAGCAAATATACAATTATTAGTCCCGCGATTGATACAAAACCACATTCTTACTGATCAAGAGGCAACAAATGGACATAGTTTTTAATTTTAGCACAGTGCCGTAAAGAAAAGGGTAGCATTGACAAACCAGAAAAGTTGTGGAAAGATCAGTAATCTTAGATGGTGGTTCAAAAGATCTTCATCCAAGAAATCAATAAATATGGATACTATCGATATTGCTACATAATCTTTTTTATCACTTATAGTCATATAATCATTTAAGTTAACTGAAATACCATAAAATAAGCTAAATCAACCATATGAACAAGTTAAGATATTCTAGTTAATTGAAGTCAAGCATGCCTTCCCCAATTAGTGGTGGGTGCAGAGAAATGAAGCAATAACTATTATAATTTGTTGGAGCAAAATTAATTTGTTCAGGTGAAGAAGGTGGCTCCATACCGGATGGAATGGAAATTGTTCAGTGGCATGGAGCTGTAACGATGAAAATGAAACAAAGGTGTCTGGACGTATGGTCATATGATAAAAACGAAATAAAGTTGTATGTGCTCACGTGTTCATGAAATTCATGATTCTCCATGATTAGTGAAGCTTATACGGATTATTTCTAAATGATGGTGTGACAAAGGCATCATGAAGGCTTCGGCTTTTATATTTAACTTCATATGTATGTCTCAAATAAAGTAATAAACATAATTTTAACATCAGAATAATAAAATCAACATTTCATCTTATGCTTGATTCAACCCATGGCTTTTCAACATTACAATCTATAGGCATATTCCATTCTCATCGGAACCCAACCCATAACACACATGAAATGTAAATTATCAGAATTGTCTTTTCTCAACAAGTAAGAAAAGATGAACTGTTGGGTCATAAGAAAAGGTTTACCTTAACCCATGCTTTTCGACTATGATACACCTCTATGCAAAGAAGGATCTCACTACTATGTAGAGGTATGTTCTCACGATTACTCGATGGTTTCACCTGTGTTAAGAGGATAAAACATGTTACCATTCAAGATTTGAATTTACCGTGTCAAAATTGGCAACTTAAAACTCATAATGCCCACACCTATGTTACATGTTTGATAACAAATTAAGTTGATGATAATTCAACCATGTGTGAACAGCATATAGTAAGAAAATGATGATGAAATAAAGAATATTGTTATCTTAGCTGTATCGCACTATATAACCCGACTGAATATAACAAGTTGTATGTTTCAGAGGCAGCAGATCACCAAAAGTTGCACAAATTACCATTGAATTCTTGAGCTGCAGACTACCCTAGACTCAGGAAGGCCTTTGCGAAGCAGAACTACTTTCATCAGACACCATCATTATTCTAGGAACCTTGACCCACCTAATCAGACCATGTTAGACCAATTTTCCTGTACTTCATAATATATGTTAATATAGCGGTCATTTGCAAAACTTTTGCAGTTTGCTTTGAAATTCTGCAAGTCCTTTCCTAAAAGTTCAAGGTACATTATCTGTATGAGTGAGGGTATTTGTCAGTTTCTTACAGTCCAGCATCGAAAACATTTACTAGTCTTGTCAAGTTTTGAAGTTTTAGAGGGCATGTTGTTTCCAAAAGATAGCAGTCCAAGATGTCATTTTCTGGATGTCCAAGGGTCAAATTTTCATATTACCTAACTTCAGGGGAATTTTTGTAATATCTTGTCCTTGCTGTCTGGAGTAAATCTAGTGTTCCCTTTCAAGGTTTCTTAGCATAAGCGAGTATAAAATCATTACCGCTAAGATTACAGAGCTTGGGAGATATAAGTCCAGATACCAAGCACCCACTATACTGAACCTAACAACTATTGAGAACTGATTAAATATTTACATATTAGTCTCCGTTTCTGTTGAAGATGCCTCACTTATTGTTACAAGTAGTTTTAACCTATTTAGATTCGAGGAGGAAGCACTGTAGCGCAGATATTTGTAATTCTTTGAGTTTAAATATATTTACTTTGACTAAAAAAATACCATCCAAATCTCATGATGAGAAACCCACCCTTGGGGTTACTCAGCCGGCTTTTTACACAATCCTCCTCCTCGCAACTTAGTTTTATGCATTTGCTTGCTCAGTTATGTTTTCAAAGAGGGACTCAGATAAGGGCCAGAATGAAGAACTCAGCACAGAATGAAGGACTGGGAGTCATTTGTTAGTTTTACTTTTGCAAACAGAAATGTATTCTTACTGCTTAGTTAAATCTGGCATATTTTATTGTATAAAGACCCTACAAGTCACAACTTAAACATGATGCTTTATGATTGCACTATGGCTTCCAAACTCAAGCAATAGATGTTCAAATGGTAACCAAACAAACCCAACTAATCTAATCTAATGATCCACAATATTGTATACATGAAGGCACAACTCAGATAACAATGACATCCTGGTAGAATGAAGATAGAATAATAAAATAATTGGGTCGAAAGACATGCAAACCTTGGTCGAGTAACTTGTCGAATTAAAGGATGACATTCGTTCTTTCTTCTCTGAGGAGGGAGTCACACATGTAACAGGCCCGCAAGCACCACTGGATCAAATCAACATAAAAACCAAAATTAGTCATTAATTTCCCCATTCACCCACCCAAACACGAACACAACCATACCAACTCTTTCTAGCATAAAATCCGATAACACATACCTAAAAGAATGCAATCTCGCAGCTGATTTATCTTCTTCTTGTTTTTCTTTAATTCTAGCAAGTTTCTCTACCTCTGCCATATAATTTTCCTGAAAATGCAGAGTAAAAGAACATAAGAATTGACGACAAATCATTGAATATAAATATTTATACAGAGGAAGAAAATATGTGGAGTGCCTGAAGGCATGCGATATTTCTTAGAAAAATTGGATTAATTATTTATTTATACCACACAATATCACATGAATCTCTCTTATTTTTTAACGTTCTACAAAAAATATTAAGCCCATTGGTATTTCATTTCATTTCTCATCTTCATTTTGTAATCCCCAGTCTCCATTTCTCCTTGCATCATTGAAACAAGACCCAACAAAATGGAAATGAAAATATAATGGAGGGGACTAACAAGTGTGCCCCAATCATCTTCTCTCGTCCTTTCATAGTATCCCATCAGTCTCAATGGCAGAAAAGTTAGTCGTTGAGTGATAACAATACAAAAAGTACGTAGGCATACAGGTACAACTCGTTGGTGCACTGCCCGTTAGTTTCTTCATAACACAAAATAGAGAAAAGAAGCCTATATACTACCAAAATTGGAAAGGACCTTCACATTACTTTCTATGGAATAAATCAATGTTAAGTAAATTGCCACCATACAACTAAGGACTGCCAAAATTGCATCTAAGATATGGTGCAACTGTCCATTTTCTGAACTTCTTCAAAATGGATAAGGTGTTAAGATATATTTTACTCGTTAGCCACCGATCTCAATTTTAGACAAGGCAAAGAACCATCAAGGTTTAGTTTCACATTGTATATCCAGTGCAACTCTTCCCAAAAGGAAGATTAACAAGGCCCCAAAGCTTATATTGTTTAAAGCATATATTCTGTCCTGCATAGCTTTGCACCAGCATGACAAAAATAACTTAAAAGACGCAATAACTAGTTGCATCAAATACGAAGGCAAAATGATAAGGGGATAAAAATGAGCATAAAAACGAGAAATGGATTAGCCTAGGCTCCATAAAATCAGGAACACGAGTTGGAGGAACCTTACATTGGGCCATGTGAGCATCTGTAGTAGGGTGAGAGTGTTAAAGAGGAAGCTGAAGCTGAGGACATGCTTAGTATCAGTAAGTTTCTTCTTCCAAGCATTTACCTAGAATGATCTCCTGTCAGAAAGCATCTACAGAGTACCTCTACCATAAGTCGCAAGGCACACAGCTACTATTGCTAGTAGTCATATACTAGTAGATCTAGATTCAATAGTATCCCAAAAGCATAGGTCAAACTGAACCATGTGCATATAGCAATTGCCTAATGGAAGTCGGAGCATGTAGCTTGTCCTAATGTGGGTCGGCCCACATGGATGAGATACCTGAATAAGTAAAATTTTCAAGCTCATTCCCAAGTGGTTTGAAGTGTATCGCAATGACATATGCATCAATCCCCTTAAGAAAAGAAGAATACGCATGAAACAAAAATGTGCACAAGATATACCTTCTCCAAACTCCCTCCTATCCATGTCAGCTACAAGTCCCTCCACATAGTTTGCTACCCTAATTGTACGTCTCCAAAAGCTCCTAGCAGAGGTCATGCCCTGAAAATTGTCTAAGGCCATGTCCATCCTCAGTTTCTCCTCCCATGTTCTCTGTGATTTGCCTAATTGCCCCTCCTTGTTGCCCCCTCGAACATCATGCTTTTTATCAATGTTGTTAATCGTGTCGCTAGAGCAGTGCTATATTGCTTAGCGGTACTTGGGTTAAAAGGTATGGTAAGCAATTCAGCCACCAAACAACATTAGCAAATTAGGTTACAAACTCATCGCTTCCCTTCCAATGAATCAATCGTGCATGGTTCTAGTTCTTTCCACGCTTCGTTCCAATAAACAACATGAAGGGGTTATGAAAATTGTTGACTAAACATTGAAGTAGTAGGAACCTCAAAATCTGCTCCAACATTGAATGATGGAAACTAACCAGAAACTTTGAATTTTAAATGATAGCCTACGCGGTAAGCAATTCAAGCACCCATACACACATACATCTATTACCCATATATCTTCTATCTTCTCTTCAATCCAATAAAGACCCACCAACTGTTTGTTTGTTTTTGTTTTCTATCTATTGTAATAATGAAATTCTAATTTCCAAATTACCAATTTACCATTACTACTAACTTAATGTTTTTACTTCTATACATATATGTGTATATGTATATATATGTGTGTGTGTGTGTGTTTATATATATATATATATATATAATTCTAATAATTATATGAACCACTATACCATCGTAATCACCTTTACGTGAAATCACAGTGCTAACTCTAACCGTGATTCATATTTTGACCGTTGTAACAGCATATACCCTCTTCACATGCGCCGTCATCTATCTCATGTGTACATGTCAAAACCATCTTATATCTTCTCTCTCACTATTTATTCGTGATAGAAGCAACTCCAAACACGGCCTAAAAGACCTAGTTTGGTATCCAATCCACCATGGTCCGACCATAGGGCCACTTAAGCATCCTCGATTCTTCCACTTCCAACTTCCTCTCATGTGTCTTCCTAGTCGCCCAAATGGCTACACTGTATATTTCCCCCTTCAGTTTTAGGCGCGCCTTTCTTCTCGCACATACTCTTGTGGGGGCTCTCCACTTTAACCACCGCGCCTTTAATCCATGTGTTACATCATCCTCAACCTCTCCCTCTTTCCAAAGTATGGAACTTAGATACTTGAAGTTATCCTTCTAGGGTAGCCTTTGATCCTCAAATTGAGTTCTACCTCCTTATGAGTACGTTCTCCTTCTTGTTTGTTTTCTAACATTTTCATATATTTACTCACTTTTTATTCACTGTTTCCTCTAAATCATTCCAACAATTGTGATGCAATACTATATGTGCAAGTGAACACAAGCAAGAAAAAACACCAGTCGATGATGATCAAAAACTTGAATGGAAGATGATTGTCCAACAAAACCTAATTAAAATAAATGCACCAACAAACCATGATGAAGTAAAAGATTGTTCAAAATCGTACTATAACCAAAATTTTAGTATTTGCCGATTCAAATTTGTCGTCTAATGGATTTTGGTGGCAAATACAGGGAGGTTCTTTAAGATTTTTTGACATAGGTTATGAAAAAAGCAAATAACCCAAAAGGTCTCAATAAAATTTAGCACAATGACCATAATGGTTATTGTACTTGCTACGTAGTGGTAGTACCATAACTGAACTTCTTTATTCATCCACAAAAGAAGATATTTTTATTCCTACAAACCCTTGTCCACTTTAGAGAGAAATCAATACCATTGTCCATTCTAAAACAAAGCCAAAACTTGTGTTCTTTATTGAGAATCAAAGAAATTTGCTAGTGCAATTTGACGTAACAACCAAGTTCAACAATTATTCTGACCATTTGGTATGATAAATTTGAGTGGTACTTATTGACTATAAAAGTATGTGATCTCATAATAAGAAAGCTAAAAGATGAAGGAATCGAGTAAACAAGCGCCTTACTTCATGGGTCGTATCATTTTGTGTCGCTCTTTTTCTCATATTAGATATGTCTCCATTCATCTTCCCATCATCACTGGTTGTCTTAGATCTCTTTGGAAAATAATTTGAAGGTTCATAATCCTCGTCTCTTCTTGATTTTATAGAGCATGAAAGATCTACATCAAGGTTTCTACTATCATTCCTTGTCCTAAAACAGAAAATAGAATAACCTCACTTAGTTTTGCAAGACAATCTTTCCTTCTAGTAGGGGAAGAAAAAAAGGAGAAAATGAGTTGGTTAAGAACTCATGGTTGGATTTCTTTTTCAGTGGTTACTATATGCATTCTAGAAGAAAAGAAAGTTTGAAAGAGTGTTATTAGTTAGCAAGATGTCCAAGTATTGTGCATTTCAGCTCTCAGAAAAGTTGGTATATTACTATATGTTGTCTATTAAAAATGGAAAAATCACTTATCCATATCAAAGTGAAAAATCTTTCACTGCAAGAAAATGCATATATATATATATACATAGAGAGAGAGAGAGGGGGAAAGTTCAATTGAAAACCAAACTTTACATTGTGAAACAAGGGACAAATCTTACCCTCCATCTCTATTTGATTCAACAACTCACCTTGAATAGAATTTTTAATTAAAATTGTTAATAAGGTGATTAGGGGTAAAAAAAGAAGTTTATTTCAATCATGACCACGTTTAATTATATGAGTTTTTCTTTTATTTTATTAATTAAAAATTTTACTCCCCTTAATTTTTAAACTATATTATTCTCAAAGTTACTAATATTTTAATCAAACAAATTACATCAAAAACGATAATTTCATTTTCTTCGACATGACATCCATCTCAATGTAGTTTTTTTTTTTACATGCAACTTTACATATATGTGTATACTCATGAAGAATTTTCTAGTGAAAATATATATTCATGATGAATATCAAACTGATGTATGAATGTTGAAAAGTGGTTGTATACACGTGAACATGTATACATATTCATGATGAATGTTATAGTAAAAATATATGTTCATGATGAATATCATATTGATGTATGAATACTGAAAAGTTGTTCTATACATGTGAACATATATAAATATTCATGATAAATAGTATGTATATTCATGATGAATGTTATAGTGAAAATGTATACTCATGATGAATATCATAATGATGCATGAATATTGAAGAGTTGTTGGATATACGTGAATATACATTAATATTCATGACGAATGTTATAGTGAAAATGTACATTAATGATGTATATCATAGTGATGTATGAATACTAAAAATTTGTTGTATACACGTGAAAATGCATAACTATTCATGATGAATGTTATAGTGAGTTGTATATTCATGATAATATCATATTGATGTATGAACACTAAAGAGTTATTGTATACTTGTGAACATGCATAAATATTCATGATGAATATTACACAGATATATCATTTCACGTAAAAACGGTTAAAATAAAAAATAAAAAAAACTATATTGAGATGGATGTCAAATCGAAGAGAATAAAATGCTAGTTTTTTTGATGTAATTTGTTTGATTAAAATATAAGTTATTTTTAGGATAACTTAATTTAAAAATTAAGAGTAAAAAAAATTAATTAAAAAGAAAATAAGAAGTCAAATAAGTTAGGCGTGTGATTCAAGTTTGAAATTTATTCCATTTTTGCCTCTAATCACTCCTTAATTAACCACTTTGTGTTTTAACAGTTGATTAGTTTTCTTAATTTTGATCAATGGTCAAGATTTGTCCCTTGGTTCACACTTCACAATGTAAAGTTGGTTTTCAATTTACCCTACCCCTATATATATATATATATATATATATGTGTGTGTGTGTGTGTGTGTGTGTGTGGGATTAAAAAGCAATCTTGCCAAAAGAAAGCCATATATAATAAGTGGATCTATCAAATGTTTCATAGACAACTTAGTTACCCGTTGGAGCAATCTTCTGATGATAGTGAACGATCTCCTGTCAAGTTACCACCCTACAGAAATTCACAATGATATGTTACATCGCAACCAATTTTTAACAAATGGTATTTAGCAGCATACCTTGAGTGATGCTTGAAATGCTATATCCACCAACTCCTCCTCACTGAGGATTTTAAGTTCATCAACCCTATAAAAGGCATTGCAATAAGTACAGGGAGAATCAAATCTATTGTTAGATAGAACTTACATGTACCATTATGGTTTATTGATGATATTTACGTGTATAATACATCAAGACTTGGGTTCAAGGAATATGCTAAAAATGGAAAATCGAGAACACCACATCAATTGATAAAAGGGATGTGATTTAATGAAATTTAAAAACCTCATCCCCCATAACTTTAATAGATAAAAAGGAGAAACAAATCAAAAGTTTAGCGATACAAATTACACAAAAAACGATCATTTTATTCTCTTTAATTTGACATCCATATTGATATTTTTTTTTCCATTTTTTTAGTGAACCAAGCCCAATACTTCAAATGACCAAATAGATAAGCAATTATAGCATGTTTCAGGTTAAGATGATAGTTTGAAGAAAAAGAGTTAAAAACGTATCAATCCGGATCATACAGTGAGTCTATGAGCCTACACAAATAACCATGATAAAACCCTCTATAAACCTAGTTGTAGCAAGTCTTGTTCCAACAATCTCAAGGTAGAGTCCATGTATCATAATGCTCAACTAGCTAAATTAGTAAATATAACAAAAGTATTTCCTAAAAGGTTCTTATCCTTTCTATATTCAGATAAGACAAAGAATGAGGGTGCTAGTTAGAAACAGCAAAAAACTTCCTTCACATTATCATCTATTTTTTGAAAACAAGTCAATAAAAAATCTATTGAAATGCAAATCCAAGACTACAAGTAAAACAAACGAAGTCCAAGCAAAGACCAAACTCCAAAGCATGTATCTCAACTAGCATAAGTAATCTAAGTAGAGGAAGCCAAGTTGACACAAGAGAATCCACCAAACATTAAAAAACAATCAACCAACTTCGAATACAAAACAAAATAACCAACCCAACCATAAAGTCAGTCAATTTTGAAGATTATCACAAATGGACTCCTCAACATCATAGACCAATTAAACCACAAAGAGACTCCACAATAGCAGAGAGCATTCATACAAAATAACTCCACCCACCATGTCAGCCAATCCTCAAAACCTGGGCCACCCCTTGCGAAAAAGTGTGGGATATTCTACTCATAAGTCAAGAAAAACCAAGTGGGTTGCTCCATCCCAACCTCCTCCTCAAGAATGTTCATTGATCACATTCTTGACATTCAGGGAACAAAGTGGCCAACAACGGATAGCCACCAACCAACGAAGAAAATAATCTCAAAAGAGCCACTAAAACTTTCAAGCGACATCTTTGAGCAATCATATATACCAAACCAGGCACTCAACTTTTTGCAACTTATAGACGACCACTTGAAATTTCTAAAAGTCATAGGAAACTACCTAACATTAAGGAAGTTGAATATAATTCCTAGACCTGCAGAAAACCTGAACTTTCATAAAGTACAAAAGAAAACTGGAATTTTGAAATTGCGAATCAGATTAAATAGTTTCTGAAGCTTTCAATGGTTGGAATATGTCCCTGTACTTTTGAAATTTGCAACTACACAATAGAGAATTACAAGATGCAACAACTGCGACAATAGCATGACAAACTTGAACAGGTAGCAGTGGCAAGACTACAAATGCAGTGACCCACTGAACAACTTGCAATCTAGATGTTTGCAAGACCTAAAATAAGCAATCCATTTTAGTAGTACAGTTAGACAGAAAAACAAGAGATACAAATGTTATACCCCGTGTTAAATGGGTAAGTACGAGTAGGGAATGCATTAGTAGTACAAGTGGGTGATGCATCATAGTACTAAGTCTGGGTAAGTGCTAGTATAAATAAGGGGTGAGAAGGATGAGTAGAGGCATTCTGTTTTGTATACAATATCTGAGGTGAAAGTCCTGTGGAGAGATTCTGGCTCTCGAAAGCCAGAAAACCCGTATGTAAGCATTTGATTAGTGAGAAGCAATCGATTTCCTTAGATTTAATCTTTGATTTTTTGGATGTACATCAATTGGCAACAGAGCGAGATCGAGCCTGGAGCATGGAAAGGAATCGAAGGATGGCACCAGTTTTGTTCATAAGGGCATGAAATCGTTGAAGGAGGATTTCAAATCCTTGGGGAGGGATCTGGAGACTGTGAATAAGATGATGGACAAACTACTCAAACCTTATGACAGGTCAATGAAGATGAAGACAGCAAGCTCTGATCCGCTGAGGAAGAACACCAAATCTGAGGTGGAAGAGAATGTTTCCGCTGTTAAAAGGGAAAGGAGGGTTGGGTTAGGCAACAACCAACCCGAGCCGTTACAGTTGCCGCCACCATTCTCACCCCCGTCGTCACAGCCCACCCTCCCATCACCGACGCTTGTCATTAAACGAAACAAAAGTCACCGGAAGAATGATCTGGGACGGAGGACGGCATCGAACTGGAATGGAGATGTCAACAAAGGCCGCTTCATTTAATCTACCACAGCCCAAGCCAACGATTCTAATTTGGCCAAGCCTGTACCAGAAGTGATTCGATCCTTATCCTCTACAAACTCAGAATCGTTAATGGCATATGGGGGAGATTGGTTGGGCGAAAATCATCAGAACCTGCCATCGCCACCGCTGCCACCACCATTATTGCCACCGTCATTATTTAATCTTCACCATCTTTCTTCAATTCCTTGTTCGACTGTATAGGCAAGGACTTCGTATGATTGTTCATTTTTTGGTTTAATTGTGTTAGAGTATGAACATCACCGTCCAACTCATTAGAAGCCTGAATAATGTGACCCAATTCCAATTCCAGGGGCATCAAAATACGGACGATCTAGGCATATGGTGGATTTTACCAAAGAATCGTATCATTTTGAGGGTCTGATTCTTGGTATTCTCAACACTCAACCATCAAGGTTTTGGCACTTACTCCCATGACCCTCTTTGTACTATCACCCCAAATGCTTCAATTCCCACCAGAGAGACAAGATGTTTCCAATTATAGATATGAAAACTAAACCCTATGATAAACCAGAGATCGGTAAATCTTATGTGGAAACAATTCAATCATCTTGGGTATGTTGACCTAGTGACATTTATTGAAGACCCCTGTCGCAAAGTTATAGGAAACCATGTTGATTTTGGTTTTCTTCTGGCGTGGAATGTTGATCCTTGGTTCCCTTGCTCAGGGAAAGCATCAATCGTTGCAAGCCTTTTACGGAAATTACAAAGGGACGTATGCAAGAAGCAACATGACCGCTTCACATTTTTGGTTCCATGGTCAGCCGTGTACATCATTAGGTAAAAAGTCCCTTGAGGTTGTTGAGACCTAGGAAGTACCGGATTGTCAAAGGGAAGATGAGACGCTTACAAGTGCGGGGAATGAGAAAGGAAATCAAACCACTCTCAGAATCAAATGGTGGGTTGCAAGATGTTTTCACCGAGTTTGCAGTACCTAGAAGGTTCGTGGAATATTACCTTTGATGACCTGGATGAATTATAACCAAGCATCAACAACACACGACCCCAACCCCTGTTTATCTCAAAAGTTGTTGCAGCAGAGAGTGTGCGGTGTGCCAACGAATCTGAAGCACAATCTAGACCCACTTTCAGTCAGAATCTATCAAACACTCATAGATGGTGGCATTGGATGGGAAGAAGGGAAATATTAAAAGGCGTCTAAATAAAGTTAATATTCAGAGGAGTTGTGAAGCTGCAGAAATGAATGTTGTACGACAATCAAAAGTCTAGCCCAACATGTCGCCTCGGTTTGATTATCTCAATACATATAATCAAAAGGATCCACAATTCTACTCTCTTGTTCCCAAATGTAGACCATCGAACTGGAATTTGTTCAAGAACGATGCTTCAAGAATCATAACATCAAACTTGTGGAGAACACTTCACTTATCTATCTGAGCTAGATAGTGCAGGTCCTTTGTCAAAGGAGCATAAGGATGGTAGCATCGCAAAATGGTGGTTCCCTGACTTGATGGGATTATTGAGGGGGCTGGTGTAAGCTACCGCAAGTGGTTATTTAGAAGATTAAGGGAGCTTATTGAAGTGGCCGAGTTTCAGGTGGCATTATTTATTGCCAAGGCAGGGACTCAAAGAAGGGCTAAAAGGTAGTATCTGGAAAGTTTTGGAAGCCAAAACAGAGTCTTGATAACCAAATATGAAGTTTGTATGGGTTTGATTGTAAAACACGTGAAGAAGCAAGAGTTTCAATACAGGATTGAAACCCTGGAAGAGTACTTCACAGCAATGACACTTCAACTTGATCTAGCATTAGAGGTTAAAAGTGGGATGTTGGCTAAACATCAGGAGGTTTGGACCTTCATAGAATGGTACAAAGAGGAAGGTGGTAGGCCCCTGGGTTGTTGCAGAAAGCACTTATGGAAGGGTTTGTTCTCAATTGCAGTTGGTTGGGGGAGATAATGTAATGTGTGTGTCTCAATTTATTTTCTTTTTCTTTCCACCTTGAGGACAAGGTGAAAGTCGGGGGATGCTATTGTTATACCCGGTGTTAAATGGGTAAATACAAGTAGGGAATGCATTAGTAGTACAAGTGGGTGATGCATCATGGTACTAAGCTTGGAGCAGTGCTAGTATAAATAAGGAGTGAGTAGAGGCATTTTGTATACAATTTATGGGACGCGAGTCCTCTGGAGAGATTTTGGCCTCTCAAAAGACAGAAAACCCCTATTGTAAGCATTTGATTAGTGAGAAGCATTTGATTTCCTCTGATTTAATCTCTGATTTTCTGGGGTACATCAACAAACTGAAAAGGCAGACAACCGTAAAACATGCTGACCATCGGAGAAGAGAAAACTCTTGCACATTCAACTACCCTCACTTTTACCATACAAATATGACCTTCACATTTACTTAAAGGAATGCTTCTTTATTTTGACATATTACAAAGATAAGGGATATGGCAAGCAGAAGCTAATGTGTGAAGGGGCCAAACATCCAGAGCTTATTTAAAAGTAAATGAACCTTATAATTAACAAAAGTAATGTGACTTACACAATTTCATGATGATGTTGTTCAGTAAAGTCCAAGCACAGCTCCTTTCTGATATCCTGCATTAACCAAACTAATTATGGTTGGTCAAAAACTGAACAGCTTCAAAGGGAAATTTAAAATAGATTCACCAATCACGACAAAAATTGCCAAATTTTTGCATTTAGTTTTGGACAGCAATGTTTCTCCGATGAAACAATAAGACTTTGTTTGGCTCTCTTCACTGATATCATCTTTCTTCACCATTATATTATGAACTAAATTATCCAAGTTTCTTATGTTTAAAAATTGCACAACCAAACATTTTGAAGTCGTGACACGTTTTCAGACTTAAATCATTTAAATTGCCAAAGATTAGTAGGGTTTAAAATTTCATTAATACCATTAATGTTTCTATACCATTACCAAGGCAAAATATAGTAGCTTCCAATTACATATACCAAAGGTTGCCAACTACTAGCCAAGGACTGTTCCTATACCATTGCTAAGGAAAAAATAAATAACTTCTAATTAGGTGTAGAAAGGTTGTAGCCTGCTACCATAGGGCAGTTTAGTCCAGATAAGATGTAACTTTGCACTCTTAGTGTATAAAGAACATAGTTCACTCATTCTATCAAAACAAGTAAATTAGATGGATAGATTTTGAATTTAGTAGAATCTACAGTTATTTTAAATAAATTTCAGTTACACATAAATAACAATAAGATATACAAGAAATTAGTGTTGTATGTGATAATGATTACGATTTTTAAGCACCAAGGATATTGTACCTTCAGTTCTTCTTCAACACATGACTGGAATCTAGAAACACTAGTGAGTGGACCAACCATATCAGAGATGTATATAGGACCACCATGAGGAATCGAAAAAAAGGCATCTTCAGAAGCAGAAGAATCTTCCATTTCTTTCCTCCAGATAAAAATCGTCTAACTGATCTCTCAACCAGGAAGCGGTAGACACGCCAACTTCCAGATGCGCACTGTCCAGACTGTCAATAGTAAGTATTAATAGCACGATAAAAAAATACTAACAAAAATAGTAAAAGGGGTAGTAGCATTTTAGCCCAACCCAAGTTCTCGTCTACAGATCCTTGCAACACTATGACTCAATTTCACTGCCTTCCTCCAGCTCTTTCTCCTTACATCCCTTTCTAACTTTTCTAACTAGAAAAACGATATGGATCATATGGTAGAGAATTTGTTGTTTCAACCAGTATGAACCTTTTTACCTAGTTCATCCTAAATCAGAGAGCCACAAAGTTTTGGTATTGGTTTCAGAATAACAGACAAAATGTCATAATTTAGGTCAAAAGTGTGTATTAATGACGGTTTGCATTGAATTGATTACATGTCGTATGATCTGTCATGAAATTTTCATATAATGATTGTGGGGAGCTGCTCTCTACAGGGCCTTCCTCATGTTGGACAGGCCCAACAAAAGAAGGGTCTCTCACCAAGTCCTAGTAAGCTTCTCCAATTTGCATTAAAATTAGACAATTAATTAGTAGAAGCGGATTTACAATCTTGAAGAACTATATTCCCAGCGAGAGTATAATACTAGTTCCCCGTATATTTTGAATGCTAGACCTATAAATTTTACAGAACCAAAAATTCACAAACAAAGTGTGGTTTGTTTGATTTGGTTCAAAGTTTTGAATGAACTGATTTTGATTGAGCACAAAATTCACTATAAATCACGGAAACTTTCAGTAAACCGAAATAAAATGGAAAATAAATTGGTAAGATTCATTAAAAACTGGAGTTCTTTAACACCATTACACGTATACATATTAGTAAGTATCATTTATACATGCACAAATATCATATTGTTATTACAACATCCAAATATCATATCTAATATGAAAAAAAAACATGGAATTGGATGTCGTGTCACAGCCTTCCTATCCACTCCCCTTAAAATAAACCCTAGCCCCCACCTACAAAGAGATGAAAAGAGAAGAATTATGTGAAGACATGATCACCAATGAGAAAGAAAACTAACCTTGATCCACGATACAAACAACAATTCGCTTGATTCTTCCCCTACTCTGCTTCCTATCAAAACAACAGGATTGAAATTATTATTTTTTTATTGTTATTTATTTATTTGAGATCAACATATTGTCCAAATTTAGAGATCCATCATAAATCATTGTATTCTCATCGTGTAAGCATTGTCCAACGTGAGTTCATAGCTTGTCATTTATAACTTGGATTGACGTTTTTTAAGGTTGATTACTTTTTAGAGATCAGTTAAAAGAAAATACTCAAATAGAGATCCAAACGAATGCAAATGAACCTTGGGTTCGAATCCAGGCGTTGTGAAAGCCCTTGCGGCTATAGAGGTTCACCTATGATGACTCCAGGCCAGGGCTGATCCTGAGGGTTCTTAATCCCCAGGGCGAAAAACCTAAAAAATGCACCCAAACTAAAAATCAGACAAAACACACCATTTCTAGGAGACCAAGGATTTACCGGTGAATCGTGAGTTTTCAAATGAAGAGAACCACACTAGTTACCACTCACCATGGGGCACTTACAGATCATTTTTCAAATGTCAACATTTTCGATCAACAAAAATATGCACCAAATTACTAGATATGTGGAAAAATGGATGATTTAAAGGACTACAAATGTAGCGTGTACATTAATGTACATGAGGAAACTAAAGATTATTTAAGAAATGGGCTTAGGCTTCGAAAGGAGCCGGCTACCTTCTTACTGACAGCGTGCTACGTGCTAGCACTTGATTAGTACTTTGGGAATACATTAGGCAACTTGATGTGTAAGCTAGAAATTTAGAAAACATGTTTAACATGATATAGGAATTAGTGTTTATGAAATCAATTTGGCAAACAACTTATTAGGTAGAGAAACCACGAGATTTATTGAAATTGACATTGCTATATACTCATCAAATGAAATTAAAACAATGTGACTACTGGTAGATTATGAATGATGCATCTAATAGAATATGTCAACATGCTATGAAAGAGGTATGGTTGATTATGTTTATAACTTCGTTTCATGTACTAATAATTCTCTAAAAATATGTACAACACTCAATTCAAAGTTGGTGTGTGGTTAAATTTGTCATGAACCCTAAATCCATGACCATCTTTCATCTTAAAATCAAAGGTCCTAAAAAGCCATCGAACATGAAAGAACATGATCATGATACCACACAATTTCAATGACAAATTGGACAACAAATCATAGGTGAATTACCTTTCACTAGTTCGAAAACAACCCATTCTCCAACAATATCTTGAGTAACTACAACGCAACAATGTTACTTCCATTCTTTTGTAGGCTTCCTTATAGATTTTAATTACTATCCCTAAGAAGTAAATGCCACGTAATCGCATAGAAAACAAGTAAAATAAGTACTCTTCAGATCAATAATCAAATTGTGTAACCAATCTTTCAGTATTTTAAATTAAACTAACAAGGATATCATAGAGTTTATGTTTGTGGCATTTCATCGAACAGTTGGAGGGCGTCATCAACCTTCTTAATATTGTAAACAATGTGCAACAAACCAAAACCCAAGCATAAAGCAAATACCAATGAGAAACCAAGATAGACATATTAGCAAATTGAACTAATCATCTAACTATCAAAAATCAACAAGACAAAAGAACAACCCAAATAATAAGACAAATTAGAAACATTTTTAATCTACAAAAGACATAAACATTAGTCATTAGAATTCAGAAATGTAGAATTCAGAAATGTACCAGAAGTCTAAGTCGATTGATTAAGACTATGAGAGCCAGAGACTTCGAGCTCGAAAGGAGAGAGCAGCGTAGATAAGAGACAAGAGAGTTACTCGGTATCACTTGGTTGCAGAACAAGTCGAGAGTCGGTGAAATCGTGAGGGTGAAGCGAAGCGAGGCGAGTCAAAATAGAATTTCGAGGAGATTATATTATTAAAACGTTAAATGCATGAAATATGAACTATTTTTATAAAAAAAATTATTATAGTATTTTATTTTATTTTTTATTATTATAGTAATGTATTTTTAAATTATTTTTTATTAAAACATCACAATTAAAATATCTATCCATTATAGCAATAAGTAATCTGTTATCTTTTAAACCGGTTAACTCCTTGATTTTTTTTGTTTGTGGCTTTGATGAAGTGATGTGGATGACACATCATTTTGATGACTTAATTTAAAATAAAAATAAAAATCTATTTCAAATTATTATTAGTGATTTTTATTTTTCATTGCTATGATTTAAAAAAACATTTAATTTTTTTGACTTTTTTTTTTTAAATTGCACGCAAATTAAATATTCTAGAGTAAAATATTTCTTAAATAAATATGTTACATTATTTTCGAGATATATTTTGTTTGTAAAAAAAGTAACGCTTCTTATTTTATGTTGTTAAAAGAAATACATATCTTTTAAAGTTTTCTCTAAAATGTTAACAAAATAAATTATATTCTACAATTTTTTAATATTGTTGTATTAATAAATAATTCAAAAAAACTAATTAATTTAATATTTTTATACGTCAAGTAAAAGTTTTTGAACAAATATAATATATTCTTTAAAAGATAATATTTTTTTGGTAAAAAATGAACAATTCTTTTTTTTTCTTTTTTCAAAAAACACATATTTTTTAAAAAACATTAGCAAGATAAGTTGTCTTCTACTAGTTTTATTAATATTGGTATATTAATGAATAATTTAGAATTTTTTAATTCATTTAATATATTTATTAAATAACATGTAAAATATTTAAATACTAAAATTAAAATTACATTGTATAATAAAATACAATTTTGTAATAATAAAGACACATCACTATAGTACATGTGGATAGCCTACATGGACAATGAGGTGGCATGGAAACCTAGTATAATGGGTAAACTAAAATCAAAAGGTTACCCAATGTTATAATGGGTAAATTTTTTAAAGTACAATGTTGTAATAAAAAATAATTTGAAAGTACATTGTTATAATAAGAAAAACTGGAAGTATAATGTTATAATAAAGAAATTTATGAAAGTAGACTTCTATTTTGTGCATTTTGCCCTTATCAAAATATTCAATACAACTTATAAAATGCGAGAAGGGTATTCGTACAATGCAACAAAATATATCTCGATTTTAATGTTTCATTTTATTCCGTCTCTGTAGATGTTTTTGTGTAATTTCTTTAATTCAGTCTCTGTAGATGTTTTTGTGTAATTTCTTTAATTCAATTTTTTTATTATAATTTAATTTAGATTTAGTAATTAAGTAATAATATAATTTTTATAAAGATAAAATTAAGTAGTTTGTTAGAACTTAATGATTATCCTAATTATATTTTAGATTTTTTTATATTTAAAATGAGATATTTATCTTTAATTTGATTATGTTTCTCTGTAGTTAGTTACACAAATTTAAACATCAAGCTTTAATAAGTTGTACTTACATACAATTTACTTGTAATTTTGAAATTTAAGTAATATGCATCAATAAACAGTATTTCATGCTTAAAAAATGGTTTTTAAAAGTTCTTGTCAAATGCTTTATAATATAACTAGAAGAGTACTCGCACAATACAGCAAGATAAATCTCCATTGTAATGTTTAGTTTTTATTATTCTCTATCGATATAACACGATTTTATGTGGTTTTGAGAAAATGATAATGTTTTTATTTTTAAATAAAATATAAATTTGAATATAGCATAAAATTTTGAAAAAAAAATAAATTGATATTAGTATCAAATCAACTATTTAATAATTCTCGTTTTTCTATGTAACTTTTTTAATTCAATTTTTTATTATATGTTAATTTAGATTTAATAACAAAGTAATTTATTTTTAGTTTAATAATATAATTTTTTTAAGGATAATAATTAAACATTATGTTATAACTCAATGATTATCTTAATTATAATTTACGTATTTTATATTTAAAATGAATGTTTATCTTGTATTTGATTATATTTATATGTAGTTAGTTACGCGAAAATTGAGCTTTAATAAGTTGTACTTATGCAAATTTACTTGTAATCCTAAATTTTAAGTAATGTGCATCAATAAACAGTACTTCATATATAAGAAATGATTTTTAAAAGTTTTTGTCAGATGCTTTATAATATATTATAGATATAGATTATTTTTCTCTCCTAAATATTTAAATTATAGTAATTTTATTGATAGAATGAGTAAAAAAATTATTTATCTTTCATAATTAATCATTTTTAAAGAAATTTTCAAATTTGGTAAATTCCATTCTCTCTTATACTTTTTCCATTTTGAAAAAAGTTATGAGGAATATGGTGGGCCAAAAATCATCAAAATCGCATTTTTAAAGAATCTGTTAAAGATGTTATAATGCTCCAACAGTTCCCCTATTTTATTCTCCAAAATAGAGAATTACGGAGAAAACTCTCAATATAGATAATTCTTTAAGACTGTAAAGATAGGAGACATAAATGAGTTTTTTAATTCATTTTACCACTAAGGATTGAATTAATATCATTTCGTATAAAGGTTTTTTTAAGGAGTATTGGGATCATAAAATCATAGAATATTTAAATATATAATTAATGATAGATCTCTAAAATAGAGAATCTGTTGTAGTTGAATGTAATTTTATTTTAAAGATTTTGACTTTGGGTTTTTCATTTTAGATAAATTATAAAAATTTTGTTGGAGATGCTTTAAGCATGTAATGCCCTTGGGGGTTTTTGTTGTCTTGGCAAGTCAAAGCTTCATAACCAACGTTTGACTTGGCTCGTTGAAAGCTCGAATAAAAGTTTCGAGCCAAGTCAAGCCATTCTTAGCACATATGTTTTCGATTCCGACATGTTCACATATTCATAGATCATATAATGAAAAAATTAGCACACTCGAGTTAATAAACAAGTTAGGGGTTATTTGTTTACCTTTTAATAGTTTCATTAAGAGACAATATCTGAATCGTTAAAAGATGAATTTTGTTTGGCAAAAGAAAAGTATGTCTGTTAATGATTATAAAATCACCTGAATGAGTGCGTCACTTAATCGTTCAGCGTCCTAATTTCATTGTAAACAATTATCAAACAATTATATTTCATTTTGCACTATATCATGAGAGCCTCTTAATCATTATGACCACTTGATTATCCAACACTAAACCGTTCAGCAACCACCCAATAGTCCCTTAATCGACATCAATTTTGAGTTTATTACTGAGCTTATAAAACTTGAATTTTAGATATAAATATAACTCACTAATACTATTTCTTTGAGTTTGTTAGTGGTTTTTTCTCGCTGTGATTTCTTCCTTATGAATTTCCATTTTTTCCTTTGAGAGAACGACTTTCTTTCTTTGAAGGAATTATGGGTGTTTGATCTTCTGAACTTCTTGAAATAAGACTTCTACTCAAATGACTTAACTAGTTTTTTCGATTAACCTGGATATCCAACCCGCTATGCGAACCGACTAATCTTAGGGCAACCACCTGTTTTGCAGGTAGCCCGGAGTCACCGCATTTAAACATCCGTGGCCACAGGGGGGTTTTTATTCCTCCTTGTATTTGAACTTGTGACATCTTGGTACTTTTGACCTTTGGAGCCAAGCTCAAACCAACCAGGTACCACCCTTGTGGTTGACTTAACTAGTTTATCTGCAACGTGGAATGAATCTCTAAAACAAAATACACTTAACTGGTAAAATATTTTCAAAATGAGCTTTTTAGGAGGATTTTCAAAAAACAAAAACCTCCTTTTTGAGGTTTTTCACATAATAGAGAGATTTTCACATGAGGTTTTTGGTGAGGCTTTTCGTCATCTGTCTTTTCAGAAGTTTTTTGTATTTAATCAGTTTTAACTTTATAAATTTTTATAAAAGTTTCGTATTTAATCAGTTCTATTTATTAATATAATTAAAGTAATCATATTTAAATAAAATTATTAGATAGATAATATAAAATAAATACATAATTAAAATAATTATATTTTTATATATTTAAATTAATGTAACAAATTCGGCATATATTTATAATTTTTTATAGACTTCTTAACAAATCCAAATTATATTTTTCAGTATACATACATTGAAATTAACTTATATTAATTTTTATTGTACATATTTTTTTACAATTTTTATAGATTTCTTAATAATTTAATTTTTATTTTTGACTGTAAATATTTTTAAATTTTACTTTTTTATTGTACATACTCTTACACAATTTACCCCTTTTTTATTTTTTATTGTGCATATTTTTAAATTAACTTTTTGAAATTTTATTTTATATATTTTTATATACAAAATTTTCAGATTTCTTGATAACCAATCTTTATACAAATTTATAAATTTTATGGTTTTTCGAAAATAAATTTTGTAAACTTTTACATATAATATGTTATATTAAAATATTTAAAAAGATTATGTAAAATAAACATATAATTAAAGTAACAACATTTTCTCAATATAAATAAATATATATTTGTAAAAGTTTCATGAATTTTTCGGTTGTGAGTTAAACCAAGTTTTGGTAGAAACACTTAAAGACGAAATAATTTTTTTTTAAATTAAGATATGGGTATGAGTGTTGGTTTTTCTTAAGACGATTGTATGAACATGATGGTCATAAACTCATGAGACTTCTATAAAAACTCCAAATCTATTAAAAGTGAATTTTCATATACTGTGCCCACAGAATGCCCACAAAGTTCCCATTATCATAGATTTTAAGCTTGCCGAATTAGCTAAGCGATAAAAAGATATCTAGTTCCACTAGTCTAAAGACTTATACTCAAATCTCCTTGTAGTGTAAATCTCGACTAATATTTGAACTTTATCTAAAAAACATGCTAAATCCGTACCTCTACGTGATTATCAAATACTTTCTCAATTTTTTCTGCATCACTTAAGCCGTATTTCGAATCCGTACATTTGTGAATTAAGGATCTAATATTAACACTTTAAAGTGATCGACTTATCCGCGTTGAGTTTAAGACTTTAAGTCCCGACTTTAAGTGATCAAGCTTAAGAATTAATAACATTGACAACACCCAAGTGTGTCTACTCGTCTTAAGTTTGACTCACACCTACACCCAAAAAAGGTGATTACCTCGTAATAAAACTAAATAACATAGAAGAAGTAGAGAAATGCATGCAAAATACTTGAATTGAAATTTAACTAAAACTGTTGCCTCAACGGGCAGACAGTGGACATAAACGTAACTAAAATTAAATATAAGACGATAAGTAAATACATAAAACTAAACTCTAACTATTGTTCCAGATCTTCAATTGCTTCAAATATCTTCAATTGAGAATAAATGCTCAAAAAGATGTGTCTTCAATATGAGAGTAAATGTTTTAATTTATTGGAGAAAGAGAGAGACGGGACAACCATTTTATCCAAAGGAAATAAACATCCTGCATACTTTAGGACAAAGACTTCACTCCACTTTTCTTGCAAGATCTTATAGACTCGTCACTTTTTGAAATTATGCAAACGGTATGGATGGTCATCCCCTTGATTTAAGGGAAAAAACACACCTTAAGTCACTTTTTCAAACAAAAGGGCCCATCTCTCAAGATTTTGTGAAATATCCAGAATAGACTGTAGTTTTAAAACCTTTAAATACCCATAAAAAAGAGTATTTAATCTTATCCAGATATGCCTTGCAGAAATTATCACAGTCGGCACTGTTCACCAGTGACGGTTTTTCATAATAAAATTAAATCATTGGTATTTTATCATCTCTTAAGAACATTATAGACAAAAAATATAAGATAGAAGCAAAACGGGTACATAAAAGACATAAAAATAAGAGTATTGAATAACAAATAACTTTCAAAATTGAGACTTATTATTAAAACTAGTTGATAAGTATGTAAAATGACTAAAAAAACTTTCTTGAAATATTAGTCAGTTATAATATTTTATAATATATCAATAATAGTAAAGAAAAATTATAATAATATAACATGTAAATTAAAAGAACTTTAAATTGATTATCACATATTATAAATTATGGATTTGTTAAAACAAATTTTAGAGACATATATACATTAATTTATGATCTTAAATAACCATTAAATATACTATAGATAAAAATAAAATTGGTTCACCTCACATATCCTAATTAATTAATAACTTTAAAAAAAAATATAATTAGTAATTAAATTAAATATTTTATTAAAATCATTTAATATAAATATAACTTTAATTTTTGTGTAACTTACATAAACATTATTAGTATTGTTTTATTTGTTTTTTTACTAACCAAATATATTCAATAATGATTAAAAAAAATTTAATTACTTTTAGTTAATATTTATTGAAATTGATGGTAATTATTCTTATTTTTATTTATTAATAAATAATTGATACCAACAGGGGTTTTAAAATTGGAAATGGTTATAAAAGCCATTCAAATAGGTATCAAAAAATAAGCTAGTTTATGTTTGTCAAACAATGTTTTTGACATAATAAAGGTATTTTGAGGTTTGTAAGTTGTTGAGGTTGTGATAATGTGTCAGAAAAAGACTGCAAAAAATCTTAACATAGTTTACAGTTTACAACTATTGTAAACTTTTATATGAGTTTTAATTTGATGAGTTGGAAACGATGTGATAATAAAAAATGTAAATAAAATGTTTTCACAATAAACATTCATCGGAGATGCTTTATTAAATATATTAATATTATAATTAAAGATAGAATTGTTAAAATAAAATAATTGTTAAAATTGACTTTTTTTTAAAAATTTAACTTTTAGGGAAAGTTTACCTAATACTTACCCGGGTAAGTGTTTATCGGCAAAAATCAACACTATCACTTACTTACCTGATAAGATTTTAGTTAACGAAAACGGTATCATACATAATAATTTACACAGTAAACGCTAATCATGATAAAAGTCGTCGTCTTTACTTACCAAGTAAGACTTTTAGTCATTATTTTTAATCATATGAGTAAGATTCTTGGTCTTTATTATATATATCCGATAAGATAATCTGAGTCGATAAGCGTTATGCAGTAAACGAAACCTTACTATTCTATTTTAAAAAATTATAACACCACCCCAACCCCGCCGGTAATAACACATAGTCGCACCAAGAGCTTTTTGACTGGTGTTTCACAAAAATGGGTTTCGTGGAAGAAGCAAGAGAAAATCACGTCAAAAAGAAAGTCGAAGAAGGTAAAAGCCCTAAACCTCATTACTCTTAGTTCTGATTCTAATCGCTTATGCTACAACTGCAAACTTTGACACCATGAATTTTGCGACTGCGGTTGATCGAAATGAAATTTTAGGGTTCGTTTTAGATTACAATTGTTTATTGAAATTCGCATGATGTGATAGGCTGCCATAGTTTTTGACATTGTTACATAAAATGAATCAAGCAAGAAGCTGTTTCGGAACATAACTGGAGTTTATTGCGTATATCTCGTAACAGTGCATAAGAAAATTGGACAGATGGAAACAAATTCGGTATCTATCCGGATTTGTTTCAGAAAAAAATCAATGAATGTTGTTTTGAAGGAGGTAAATGCACCAAAATAGAAGTTGAAGGATTTGTGTATGGAGTTTTTCTATGATTAAATTAGGGGCTGTTTACTTACAGCTTAATGCTAATCGCTCAACCATACATGAGTGTTTCTTTTACGGTTTAATCGTTAAGCCATATAAGCCAAAATGATTGTATGGAATAAACCCGTTAAGCCGCTTCAAATAAATTAATACCATAAATTCTCTAGAAATAGATCAATAATCCAACCCTCTATCTTTGCCTTCCTCAAAACCCATCGGTCCCCATCCCGTCGGCCAAAGACACAATTTAACCCATACACGGCTTGGTTGAAAAAAGGGAAACAATTGAAGCAATTTTCCTTTGTTTTTCTGGAATCAGTCATGTGTACATTAATGCAAGTTCTAATTCCATGAGAGTGCTTCTAAACCAATCTCATGGAGATGATTCATTCGAGCTTGCAGTATTGAGTTACTAGCTGTAGAAGATAATCAATCATGATCGCTCAAGAAGCATTTACCATTCATTCTTAACATTTCATATTAGCGTCTTTTTTCAGTGCTTTGTATGTGTTAAAGTGATGCGATTAGAGAAGTGTTGGCACCTTTCTTCATTGGCTGATCTGTGAATGGCTCTTCTAATCAAGTTTTAGCATAATAGGATGATAAATGGCAAGGGGGCAATATATGTTAAATTGTATGTTTCCCTCTATATATCAGTTGCGAAGGTCCCATAATTGGAGGACTCCACCTCATTTAGTGAATTCAACTGTGTGAATGTAGAGTTAGAGTCTACACCGACGCATACACACACATATGCATGTATGCACAGACGAAGCCAGTAATTTAGTTGAGGTGAGCTTAATGTAAATATGTAATTATTTAAATATTATGCAAATAAACAAGTATATTATATTGATGAAATGATCGTATAAAAAATACATGTAAAAGTGAAAGCTTGACCTTTACAAGCTTGATGAATCACAACCACATATGAAAGAAACCCATATAAAGAACTAACTAGAAACCAAGATTTGCATATTCAAAATTGGAACCACAGTCCACAAGTTGAAATCAATAACAAGCCATTGAGCATAAAGCAGTAAACAACTAGTAAAACATGAAATGGTAACATTGTCTTAAATAGCAGTATAATTTAAACCATTTAGTGGGATGATCAATAATGGAATATAATACTATCTAAGATTTCAGTACAAATTGAAACGGTGACCCCTTCATAAACTGGAGAGAATACCCGATATCGTTTGAAAACAGAGTAAGATTAGGTCCATTAATGACACTCCTATGTATTTCTCTTCTTTTACATCCTCATAATTAACACTGATATAGTAGATGGTGATGTAGAAAAGTTGTCGCTTTAATCCCTACTGCTAGTAGATCATCTTGCTTCATCGATTCTATTAAAAAATGAATTTATTTTTCTCTCTCGTCCCATTCTATGAGTTCTAGTCATTATTTTCTGTTTTAAATTATGCCCGTTAAATTCATTAAATAAACTCATCTTGATTGGCTGCAGCTTTACGAAGCAAAATGAAGGCAAAGGCGCTAAAGGAATGTGATTATTACACTGCTAAATATGCAGAGTGTGCTTCAGGGAGAACGTTTTCCGTTGTTTGGAAATGTCGGAAACAAGCTCAAGAACTAAATACATGTCTTCATCAGTAGTAAGTTTATTCTTGTGAAACTTTTTGCAGGCTGATGCATCATCGTTTATACATTTAACCAGCTGGTTGTTTTATCAGTAATTGATGATAGTTCAAGTAACCAATCAGCCCTTTATAAACTATTCACCAATGTGATCCTCATAGAAGGATGCCATGGTGTGGCTTTCTGTAAACCAGCTAAGGATCTTCATGTTGGTTTTTTTTAAATCATGATAACTAGAGGAACAATATAGTTAGAATCGCAACAGAATTGTTGGATGTGGATCATAATTTGGACTATAAACCGGATTATTACTTTCTGGATCCAAATTTTGTAAGAAACTGGTTATGCTAGCCCGATAGTTAGGATGACACAATTTTCTCTCTGGTTCCTAAACATAAATGGAGCCAAACACTCTCTCTGATGGGTATAATATATGTATATATATATATATAGGGTTGGGTTCTGGTGAGAAGGAGAGTTAAGATGAGAAACGTAAGAATGAATCTCCACCATTGGATGCACATATTAGGCTGAGATGCACCGAGAAGCACGTGATCAATCCCCGTATCAAATGCTATTCATGGGTGGGTTTGAGATTAAAAGTGATCAAGGGTTCAGATCCCTTCTTACGCTTCTCTCCTTAACTCTTCTTCTCACACGATCCTTCGCCTATATATACCATATGAGGGAGGTTTGTTTAGGAACCTTAAATATTTTGAGAACCCAGGAACCACCTTTATGTGGTATTCATGATGAATAACCTCAAATAATAATGAATATTTGTCACGTTACTCATCGTAAATACTATACAAAATAGGTGGTTCATGGGTTCTCAAAATATTTAAGATTTCTGTATGAACCTGCCCCATATATATAAGAGTCCTAGTAACGACCGTGGATGTGGGGTTGATTACCGAATCATGTAAGTAGTGGGGTTGATTAGAGTCTGTCTTTACCTGAGAAGAAAAAATAGAGTGCTTCATATGATCCAAATTCCTTTAACGTTTTGGTGCTGCGATGAAGACAGCTGACTTATAATTACTTCAGAATTTTATTCCATTTTAACCTTTGTAAGGTGCCGTTTACCAAATGCGTACCCGGGTAAGCGTTTACCAAGTCACATTACCCTACCAGATGAATATGGTAAGAACCAAGAATCTTACTCAGTAAGAGTGAGACAAGGAACAAGAGTTTTACCCGGTAAGTGAAGGCGACGACTCTTACCACGGTAAATTATTACATACGGTGCCATTTTAGTGGACTAAAATCTTGTAGGTAAGTAAGTAATAGTGTTGAATTTTATTGGTAAGCACTTATCGAATCGGGTAAGTTTTTGGTAAACGACCCCTAAGTTAGATGAACGGATACTTCACGTGCAGTGCCCATATTTTTTCTAGACATGTGAAAAACGCGTTGGAAACAATATTAGTAAATTACTAAACTACCTGGGGCAAATTAAAACCCTAAAACCTTCCGCATTTCTTGCACCACCAATTTAGTCGAGCTTCGTCCAATCCATATCAACTTCATTCAATCTTGTTCAATCCTGTCCGCATATCAAACGCACTAAGAGTTTGTTTGCTAGCAGCTTGATGGACTCGCAGCTTATTGAGTCAAATGATTGTTTGGTAGTGGCTTAATGATATAGAAAGTGGCTTATTCAGTAAGCTTTTATGGAGCTTCATGCAGAAAGCCGAGTTTTTTCAAAACCCGTCTCTCCCAATTAAAAAACACGCTCCTTCCATCTATGAAAAAACTCTCAAACGAAAACCTTTTCCAATTTATACAGACATATTAATCCACACAGACAACTTTATCCATATATGACTTAATGGAAATCCAACCAAACAACCTCTGAAGGTTCATATTGCCCTGCATTTGTTATGACATTGCAACATAAGATCCGACAACCACAATGATTGTTACTTATAATACTCGTTTTATGCGCCTCCGATGTTGATTTCTGGAACACTTATCGATATTATTGGTTGCAGTACGAATGACAGTCAGCTGGAAGAAATGAAGAAAGAGTACACACTTCAACAGGATGGGAAAGGACCATTAGGTGTTTAAGGGTAAGCAATTCATGTTTCGTTAATTTGAAGAGACTTTATGGCTTGCCTGCTCTTTAATTGCAACTCGTTATCGTTTTAAAAGTTCTCGGAAATTAATTAATCTTCGCTAATTGCGATTAGTGTATGAAATTTTTTACACAAGCTTTGGAAGCTACAGGTGATCAGTTTAAGCATTTAAGATCTAGCATGTGTTTTTCATGTAACACATGATGTATTGTAAACAAAGTAGGTCTCGTTGAAATCGACTTATGTGGGGTTTGTTGTAAGATCCCACATCAGTTGGGAAAAGGAACTAAGGTTGCCTTATAAGGGACTCGTTATCTCCTCTACCAGACGCTTTTTAAAAAACGTGAGTCCAAGTGTGGGAAAACGGACAATATCCGGTACGGTTCGCCCGAGATGTTATATTTGTGTGTAGTACGAGTCGCTAAATGATGTACGAGTCGTTTATGTTGGGTTTGATAACTTGGGAACCACGTGTTTTATGTATCACAGTCGAAACAACACACATTTTTAAACATGCATAATTATTACACCTTTTAGTTAACCAAATGACAATTTTACCTTGATTTAATTTCTCCCATTTCACAACTCTTAAACATTTGTGGATTAGCTAAAATATATATAATTGAGAATTTAGTTATCTATTTTTCAAGCTAGACACTTATTTTGAGACAAACATATGACAGAAATGTAGACACTTATTCATGATGAATAACCTTGAAGAATAATTAATGTTATTCATCATGAATATTTATCACATTATTTATCATTAATACTAAATAAAATAGGTGGTTTTGCAAGTTCTTAAAATATTTTAGGTTTCTAAATAAATCCGTCCCTATGTTTTTTAGCATGGGACCAGGTCCAGTTACTAAAAGTCGGACCGGTGAGCACAAACTAAGATTTTTTTTTCTTTCTCTGGGACCGTTGTGATTTTTTGTTTGATTAAATACGGGTGTTTGCGTTTTTGGTTTATCTACACAAATTAAAACAATCTTAAAGCTCGAAACCAATAAATCGGTGTGTTCAAATGCTGATTTCTCGTGTATTCATGATTGGCAAATACGATATTTATCGGGAGTACTTTGAGTCGATTTGGGTGTACCCGTGTGTGAAACAATTAGAAAAATTGTCAGTGTCCTTAAAATCACCCATGCTTTTGAAAGGGACCGCACACAAAAATTAAAGTCTTGTTAGCAACTTAATGAGACTCGTAGCTTATTTGGTCAGTTATATACGATTTTTTGGTAGTGGTTGTTTGATAATAATAAAGTGCTTTATCCAACAAACTTTTAGGGGGGGGGGTGTTATTTCTTACTGTTCATATAGTATGATATGAATATACCACATCAATTCGTTATGTATGGATGATGAGATTTCATTGATACAGAGCTAATTTCAATAGACTTATAGGAGGGTCCCATTGGCGTGCATCTAGTAGGAATTGAGCTTACGAATTCGCCAATTATGAGTTGGGTGCTTTAACCATTCAGCCATGGATGCTTAGCGGGTCATAGTGAATGACCAGATTCCAATTCAAATGTATGCAAAAAAATCAAGTTTTTTTTATCCAATTAAAAAACATGCTCATTACATCTCTGAAAAAAAATCTTTCCAAACAAAAACTTTTTCGATGTATACAAACAAATTAATCCATACAAATAATTTAATAAATACAAGACTCAATAAAATACCAACCAAACAATACTTGTCGTCAGTTGTGTGCCGTCACTAGGGCATGAAAATTGTATTTTAGACCCTTTCCTGCAGAATCAGCAGCTTGATTGCATTTTAAAAAACGGTACCTTGGATTTGAAGCTAATATTTTTTTTTATTCCATGTTGAGTTAAAATTAATGCAATTACAAGTGTTACTTGGATTAATTATTATTAATAATTAAAACTCTCACATGATCGGGTGAACTAACTCCGAAAAATGACTTTTCAGATTTGTACTCTGAAGAATGACTCTTTAAACTTATACTCTTGAAATAACTGTGAAGTATAAAATCAATCACATTAAATCAGAGTTCAGACTTCTAAGTCTAAAAAAAAAACTTCAAAGTTAGGGTGAACTAAATTTGAAAAAGAAGACTTCAGAATTTTGGTGAGCTAACTCTGAAAAATGACTCTTCAGACTTGTACTCTTTAGACTTGTAGAAGACTTCAGAATTCAGACTTCCAAGTCTGAAAAAGAAGACTCCGGGCTTCTTTTTATAAGTCTAAAAAAAAGATCTGAGAGTTCAGACTTCTAAGTCTGAAAAAGAAGACTTCAGAGTTCGGGTAAGATAAGTCTAAAAAGACAGACTTAGCTCAATTCATCTTAAAAATCGTTGTTTTTATCTCATTTTCAAGATAACATATACTTCTTTTAAAGATCAAGATCAACTTCATTTGAAAAATGTATTTTATTTTCCAAATTGACACAATATAAATGACTCTTCTATGGCCATCAACTTCCCCCCCCCCCCCCCCCCCCCCCCCCCCAGTTCAAACCACGATCTTACGGACCCATCTCAAAGGTACACCCGCTCAAAAAAATATTCTTGGATTCACCACGGGTTGCAATATTAATTTTTTTAATTCATTTTCTTTTCCCAATTATTCCAAAATAGTCAAAATTTCATAGAACGCTTGTTACACAATCTGGAAGCCGACCTCATTAGAATTATATTTAAAACAGAAAAAATATATTTTACAAGTCCTGAGAGGGGTATCTGCAAAATCTTGAATATTTTGGTCTAAATGAAAAAATTAGCTTAGAAAAGGGAACCATTTGAGTATTTTGATCAATTTTTGTAGTTGCTGTTCAAAGTTCAAACACAACAAAAATGACTCTAAAGGATGGAAGACTCCTACATTTATATAAGCTTGATGATTAGTATTTAACCCATGTGTAACTCCAATAATTTTTTATTATTAACTGGATATCCAACCCGCTATGCGAGTTGACTAATCCCAGAACAACCACCTGCTTTGCAGATAGTCCAGAGTCACCGCATTTGAACCTCCGTGGCCACAAGGAGATTTTTTATTCCTCCTTGGATTTGAACCTGAGACCTCCTGGTACTTTTAACCTTTGCAGCCAAGCTCAAACCAATCAGGCACCACCTTTGTGTAACTCAAATAGTTCTAACCTTGTGTATCAACTAAAAGAATTAGTTGGACAAAAATACAAAAGAGAAAAAAAGAGTATTAAAAACCACAGGAATTAGGCAGGCAATGGACAAAAAAGAACTGCGTTTCCATTGCAGCAAAAGCTTGAACTTTAAATGTAACATCACAAAATAGTACGAGGAGCAAATCGCTTAGCCGTCTAGAGTTAGACGGCTAAAAAATGTAACACGGCCTACGACTGGTCAAAAAATCTGTAAACAAAATCTTTTTGGGATCATTCAAGGGTATGAGGCCTTGAATCACCCATCAACAAGAAACAAACCTCACCACCACCTGCACCAGCAACTATAACACGTAAATGAACATTTAGCTTGGTTTTCGCATGTTACGGCCTGCACGAATCACTTCATCCACAAGTAGCAGCTGTGATGCAATTACCGGACTGACAAAGAAACACGTAAATTTCATTCAATATAACCAAATGAGCTCCCAAAAAGCGTAGTTGGGAGATGGACGGGTACCTATGGGAGGTTAACGGGTGGATACAAGCGTTGATATATATACCCGAAGCGGTTGCAGGGGATGATACTACCCCCCCCCTAATGCGACCCCGAAAATATATATATATATATATATATATATATATATACACACACATATAGGGTTGGGTTCCAGTAAGAATGAAAGTTATGGTAAGAAGGGATCTCCACCTTTGGACCAATCCTAATTGAAGATCAACAGTAATGAGATGCACATGATCAATTCCCGTGAGAATCGCAATCGATGGGGTAGGAGTGAGATTAAAAGTGATCAAGAATCCATATCCCTTCTTACGCTTCTCAACTTAACTCCTATTCTCACACGATCCATCATCAGTGTGTGTATATATATGTATATATGTGTGTGTGTATTTATGTATATGCATGTATATATATATATGTATATAAGGGTCAGGATCATGCAAAAATTTTCATTTTTGTGAGAAGGTAGGAAAAAGTGAAGGTACCTTTATATTCTGTGAATGTTACATTATATTGTGTGAACGTTGTCCTTTCTCACCTCATGAAAAAGAGTCTTCCTCATAGGAATCCACATGTGACTATGTGAGTATGTATGCATGCATTGCATAGGCAGGAGTTCAAACGAGAACCCCTTGTGTTTGCGAAAATGCGAGAACAATTGTGGGCCTCTAACCTTTTTAATCAATTTTAAATTATAGTAATAAAAAAAAAGGGTAGTAATGTAATTAGATAATTTTTATTATTTTTATGTTATTTTAATTAACTGTAATTATCCCATGATTTTAGATTGGAATTTGTTCGCGTCGATCATGTTTCCATCGTTTTTTGTATCTGCATATTCGATAATATTGTGATATTATCAGTTTGCGAGTTCCTTTTTCATCTGAGAATGGAAGATCCCCATGGTATTGGTAAGGAAGCTACTGTGACATCATTGTGATATTTGTGTGATAGACTATTGAATACAACCGCTGTTCGATTACCCTATTGTGATATTGCTTGTGTTGTGGTAAATATGTGATACACTTGAATATAGCCCCTGTTTGATTACTTTGTTGTGATATTTGTGTGACGTTCTTGACAGCCCATCTTTGTCTCAGTAGAGTCTTTCAGTGACATGTTTCGGTTATCTTCCCTATTACTTAGAAAAAATGAGCCACCGGTACAGGTACAAGATACTATCATTACCGCTTGGACAATTAGACATCTAACCCGTAATTGCAACGACCCAATTACAAGAGCGGAGCTCAACTGAGCTATATCCCCCCGAGCCAAGTGGAGCATGTGATAGAGTATTGAATACAACCCCTGTTCGAAAACTCTACTGAGATATCGACTGGGATGCGATAAATATGTGATACCCTAGAATATAGCATTGTTCGATTACTCTATTGTGATACTAATGGTGTTGTGATAACTATGTGATACACTAAACACAACCCCTCTTCGATTACTCTATTGTGATATCAAATGTGATGTGATATATATGTGGTACTACCTAATCGATGACAAACAATAATCGAGCCGTAATCATTGGATAACCACCGTCAACGATGTTATCACCTCCCTCATGATCGGAGTAATCATGATCGTTATTTGAATGTCAGCATTTTAAAATCCAATTTTACCCTTCCACGTCTTAAATATTTTTGAAAGTTTTGTAATACTAATTTTAATTTAAAAAATCCCTCAACTTCTGTTAGATTGTGATTTAAAACACAATGCTAGTTTACAAACGGTTCTCGCGTTCTCGTAAATTAAAGGGTTTCTCGTTTGAACCCTTCCCGAATTGCATATACGTGAATATATATATATATATATATATATATATATGTATTATATTGTTTTCTACTAAATGGGTAGTCAATGAGTTCCTCGTAACCGATGGAGATTGCTTCTCCCAAAGAAAAGAGAAACCCGTCAACGGAGAAGACGGGTCGGGACGGGGGTGCATTCCGCATCCGTTGCCCACCCAGTTCCTCATTATAGGTGAGGAAGAAGACTTAGCAAGATAATTGCATGCAGAAATATGTGTGGTATGTGGTAAATAGTTGTGGTCATCGGCAAGTAAAAAAACTAGCTAACACTAGTGCAAGGTTCTATAGCTATTTGCATACCCTGAGTTAATGATTTGACGCTTCACAGCATAGTTGTCAAAAATGCCCTCCATCAGAGGGTCAATTGGATCTCCCGTGTGTTGATTTAGTCCGACAGCATTTCCGCTGTCGTGCTCTCCCTGGTCAATTAGTCAAATAAAACCTAATACACAAATGTATCATATGAAGAAAAAAAAGTGAGAAAGATTAAGGGCATAGAAGAATTACAGTCAAAGAAATTATCACATCCTGAGTGTCAAGCCCTGAGTTTTCAGCAAGCGTCTTTGGCACAATAAGAAGAGCATCGGCAAAAGCTTGTATACCAAGTTGAGCACGCTGCTCACATGAGTAACCACCAAAAGTTTAGGAAATGCATAATTTAGTTACTCTTCCCTTTCCCTCAAAATAAATGTTCGCAATGAATAAAAGCACAGGTCTAGAAATGTGTAATTATCATGATTTTTAATTAATTGAACAATTTAACCTAAACAATAGGAGTATGAACTTCTCCATCTCATATTACGGGTAAAATTGGAAAGTAGGCACTTACTTTTGAAAGTGAATAATTGTTCTGGGACAAACGAAAGTAGAAATGTGGACAGTTATTTTGGGACAGAGGGAGTAACATTGATCAGTCGCAACTGATCCGAGTAGAATGTGCAACTTATTACTTACCCCTTTAACAGTTTTTTTCACTTTGTTGACCAAGTGTTGTCGGGCTGCGACCTCAAAAGCGCCAGCACCCTGAAATATGTATCAAATATGCTTCATTAATTTCAGTATACAGGCAAAACGATGCTTGTAAAGATAATTTTCACACACATAAGCATTATAATCATGTTTTAACATCACCTACCACAAAACTATCTATAGTAATAATTATCCTCTAAAAACCTAGAACCTGCCAAGCAACCTTACAACAAGACTTGTGTAGGAAAGAAAACAAAGTTTAAGTCCTCCATTAGGATGATGAGGGACAATCAGTTGAAAAAATCGCTTAATTACCATGCTGTTAATTTGGCCTGAGTTGCACTATGTTTGGCAAAGTATCTGATAAACTAGTCATTAGTTAAAAAGTTAGTTGTGTGGCTAATACACTATATGTTAGATGATAAACTAGTCATGTTTGGTAAAAGTTAGTTGATAAGCTAGATGACAATGTAAAATGACCTAAAAGAACATGTTGGAAGATTAATTGGAAAAATATAAGGGGATTAAGTGAATTTATTTTTTGAAAAAGGAACCCTTGGAGCTTATTGAAACACTACTTGAAATAGCTTCTAAAGAAGTTAGCTTATGGCTTAACAAAATGGGGCTTTTTCAATAAGCTCAAAAAACCAGTTAGTTTAAAAGTTAGCTTATGGTTGCTAAACATGGCCTTTTAGTAAATTTGATAGAAACCTTCCCTGTTTCAAGCAAATTTGATAGAAATATTACCCTTTTGCATGTATTCCAAAATACCCTACTGCTTCCAGTGCTGGCCTTATTTTTTTTGACAGCCGAATGCAGTCAGTTTGCAATAAAAAATGACAATTCAAGCAACTTGAAGCATTTATTAGAACAAGCAATTAGAGCAAAAGCAGTTAAAAGATGCCAAGGTACATTCCTGAAAAATAATAGCTCGACATATCACCAAAATAATCCATTGGATCATGCACTTTGTGTTTTCTATGTAGAAGAAAACTTACTCGTACAACTGCTTCGTCTTCAATGGTATTTTTGACTGATCGCAGGCCATCTCTAACAGCATCCTTAATTTGTGCTATAGTGTGGTCATTCGGTCCTTCAATAGTGCAACAAACATGATAAACCAACATATAGAAACCAGCAAAGCGAGCTTACAGAGAATTTGCAACAACAAAAAAACCTTAAACCAAACCAAACAAGACGAGCCCAGTATACCCACCCTGAGATGGGGTCAGGGGTAAGACATACTCATACCTACCTCTACCCCAAAGAGTAGAGCGGCTGTTCCCGTGATGACCCCTGGCTAGTGAAGTGTACGAATGGGCAATAGAAAGAAAATTTTAACATCTAAAACTTACCTTTAATTAAAATTGTACACGAGTTCGGATGCTTTACATTCTCAACAAATGTGTACTTCTCTTCCCCAAGAACATGCTCATAGACCAGTCCAGCCCATCCAAGGCAATCAGGGGTTAGATCATCCACAGAGTTCACAGCTTCTCCACCACATGCCAAAACCAAGCGTTCCATGTTTCTCCTTTTGGCTCTTCGAAGAGCAACTATCTGAGAAATTACTAAATTAGCATGGTGAACAGTAGTATAGGAGAAGTAACATATTATAATGATAATCAACTCCAAGAAAAAGATCAGATGAGTTGGAGAAGCAGCATGCTTTGTAGGAATTATCCAAAATGCCTTTAAGATACAGCCTTAATAAATTAAATTGAAATCTGAGGATGTAAAAACAAAGGACTACTACCAATGCTATCAATAGCACACTAAACCGCCGTTCTTCTAAGTGATGAACTGATATAGGTATGATGCCTCAGAGAATGCAAGTGATAATCAGGTCTAACATCCATAGAAAGCAGCACCATTCAGATTTTGTAATTCTGCAGTATTTTTTTCTTTTTCCTAAAGAAGGATGCTTCCTTTGTCCTTTCTCTCTACGTAAGTACTAATTTCACTTCTATGTACGTACGACTTCATTAAGTTGCACAAAATACAAAATAACTGTTTGCTAGTTGTATCTAAAATACCATATACTCCAACCCAAGTGCTTATGTGCACCAGTAGGAGGCCTCTCTCCATCAGGTAACACATTGATGCTAATGTAATCTAACCATTCAAAGATCACAAGATATACGAACAAGCCATTAAATTACATGCAGACCTCACTAACATGTTCAAGGTATGATGATAATATAAAATCCTAAAAGCATGCATGAGACACTTAGGGGACATTTACCAAACGCTTACCCGGGTAAGCGCTTATCAAGTAACATTATCTTAGCGGATAAATATGGTAAGTACCAAGAATCTTACCCGGTAAGAGCAAAGGCAACTACCAGGAGTCTTACCCAGTAAGTAAGAGCCATGACTCTTACTACGGTTAGTGCTTATCTGGTAAATTGTTGCCTTTGATACCATTTTGGTGGATTAAAATCTTACCCAATAAGTAAGTGATAATGTTGAATTACCATTTTGGTGGATTAAAATCTTACCCGATAAGTAAGTGATAATGTTGAATTTTTCCAGGTAGCGCTTACCCGGATAAACGTTTGGTAAACGGCCTCTTAGTTTACAGGGTCATGATGCAAGGCACCTTTCAGTTCATCATTTTTGGTGACATAATTTTGGACTTTCCTTGAAGCATAAAACTTCAATTATAATCTTTCACCAAGCACCATATGATCAGATGAAAAAGAAGAAATAACTCTGGACAACACTTGGATAAATCAGTCTGAATGGAGAACAAACTCCACTAGAGATTATTTAAAATTATGCATAATTGAAAAAACAAAAAACAAAGTTTCGATGCCTATTTATAGCAGCTGGTGGTGAGATATATTATTTGTAGAAAAATAGAAAATACCAATTAACTATAACATGGGCATGTCTTGAGATGATGGAGACAATGGAAATTGTGAGTGGCTAATGAGCTAGTTTGACTTGGTCAATAGTAGGAACCTCCCTTGATCCCAGCAGCCACAAACCCCAAAAAACTTGCTCTCAATATCAGGAGGTTTTGAAGATAAAAAATACTTTTTTCTCTGTATCAACCAACCAAACAGAAGCTACTTCTTAACAATATTTGGACTCCATAAGCATGGCAAGGAACGGCTAGAGGGCGTATTTTAGGTCAGGGATACTGATAATTAGACTACCAAAACAATCTTCAAACTCCCATGAACACAAAATCATATTTGCTTCCTTAAGTGATATTGTTTCTTTCATGAGATAGTAAGTCAACAGCCATGAGGATTTCTTTTCACTCTAGGACAAGCATCTGTTAGTTAATACACCACTAGCAGTCAGATGGCTTCAAACTCAGAATGTAAATGTAAGTTCACGGGTAAGTACAAAAATTGGATGTTCAGTACAGATCTATGATTAACTTACCCCGGCCCTAGCAAGAAGATCCAATGATGGAGGATCTATCCCTTTCTGATTAATAACAACAAAGTTGTCGTCAGTACCAGCACACACCTGCGGACCATGAGATATATGAGAATGCAAACTTCCAATGTAAACCCTTGACTTATCAACCACCTCCTTGGTAGAATACCTTGTTTTTCAGATCGATGATTTTTCTCACTCTCTCGTCCACAGAACGTCTCTCTGCGGCAACCATTGCTTCTCTCTGTTCCGCGTTTGAGTAGAAAAATCCAGCATTTATTTCACTGAAAAAGAAATGTCAGGTTCACTTAATACTGAAATAGGTTATAGCTCAAAGAGATGGATAAGACATTCTAAGAGCTAATTTCGGTTTACAACCATTTTAGGAAAACACCTACATATTAACTATAAATTTGTAAACTCCAAAGACTCTGAACAGATTAAGAACAAACAGCAACATATATATTACCTTTTCTCATACTCCAATGATACATTACAGGTCAATATGTGACAATTCTCTGCTCGCCTCTTCATATCAGGATGCCTGGATCCATGATCAAGGACAAGACCCTCCACCTATTGAACAACATAATCAAAAGATGAATCTACCACCAACACTGTATATGAAATGATGATGCCAATCATCATCAGCAATGTAATGACAGCAAACATACCAAACGAGTGTCTACATCAAACTTGTGGCGCATGTGCATAATCTCGACCATAAAAAGATCAATAGCTTCTTCAGGCTTGCGAATGCAGAGCACCTATAAAACAAGAAAAAGCTGGAACTAAACACGAAATGCTGATTCTAAAATTAAATAAAGTTGCAAGCAAACCCCTTGACATAAAATTTTCAGTTTTATCAATAATGTAGATTTACAAATGTAGAACACTCACTGCATTGACAACTATGTCAGTTAATTGATCCGCCAAAGATTCATACAACTGCACAACAATTAAAATAGCATGATCATTACAAAAACAACTTGCATTTAATCACCAGTTCATCATAACAAGAACTTAACTAAAGAAAAGAGCAAGTACAAAATACCTTTGTTCTTAACGTCGTTCTTGCTACCATTTTTAGCATCTCTTTATCAGCATCCTCACCCATCTGTATCAATACAGGAGTCTTAAAAATTTCAAGAAATTCCAGTGTGGCCCTCTTGGCAATTTCAAAACCATCAACGACGACGCGTGGATGCATCCCTGCATGAACAGGAATAAAAATGAACATACTTTTTAGTTGTCATATTGCTCAAATGATGATAACAGCTATAACAAAATCAATGAACTTCAAATTTTAAATGATACATTGCAACTTTGAACAAATAAATACAATATTACTGAGTGGTATATAAGTAAATAAATGAAAATTTACACCTGGGTAAACCAAGGATGTCCCCTTGAATAAAACCACACAGACTACGTAAAAATGCACAAGTAAAATGACTAAAACAATACAAATTGCATGCCAGTGAAACATTTTTGTGGTGGCATGAAAGCAAGAAATCAATTGCTTGTCAATAACACTGCAAAAATGCCACACACCATCCCACCTGCATTAAGTAAAAGATACATAGAAAAGTACAAGAAACCATATGCTCACTGTGAGGGCAGATTTGCTTATCAGAAAGTTAACTTAGGATCATGAATCTAAAGCAAAACAAAAAGGGCAAGAACATAATGAGGATGTTGACGATGTGCTTAGGTCCGTCAAGATAATCATAGGCAAATTGAATTAATAAGCATCACAGATGTAAGATTAGAAAGATGAGAAACCTTCATCAATACAACGTTCAGCCTGTTTCATTAGCTCGCCAATAAAGATAACCGTAGAAGTTGTCCCATCACCACTAATATCATCTTGTGCAACAGCTGTCCTTGCAATCATGATGGCAGTTGGATTTTGAATTTGCTGGAACGATATAAAAAATCAATCTTTATAGAAGAAGCATGGCACTACCATAATGATGTAGGAAAGCAAGCATTCAATCCTATGCAGTAGATTGGTAAAATATAGTCATGGCAACTCTGATTGCTAAAATGGAAAACTGAATACCCAATTGACAGTTTACTTCCCTAGAATTCCCATTTCTATCATTTAGCATTCTCCAAGATCCTCGACTTCTAATTACTGAAGGGCTTTTACTGCCTATGAAGTCCCTCTTCATCTAAACCAACTATAGCTCAAAAAAACATGTACAATCCACCACCCATTATGACTTCAGGTATGCAAATTAAATTGCCATCGAGCTCATTTGAGTGCACATACAACATTACTGTCTAATCTGACGAACACCAAAAACATACCAATCCCATACAATATTCCCTCTATCCCATTTGAAATATTGTAAAACCATATTTAGATTGTACAATGTAATGATTGTTCTACTTTATGCTTCTTAACTTTAACTGGAGGAAATCAAAGAAAAGGAAAAATACATGTTGATACCAAGTTCAATGTATGGACACTGTTGCCTAGATGTATATGGAGTTAATATATGCACCTTTAATTCCTTGCAGATAGAGTGCAAGTTGTATAGGGCATTTTGCTGCATGGTCAGCTTGCCAAGTAACAGACATGTGCTGATATGAGTATGACTATGGAAGCTTCATTGTGAGAATGCTCAAATATAGGTGGGGAGTAAGGTTGACACCGAGTAAATTGTGAGCCAAGTATAGAGGCTTATAATTAAGAGAAAATAAGATAGGTATAAGCAGGAAGAAAGAACTGGACAATTAGAACATGACCATGAATAGAAGAGTGCTAGTTAGGTAACACCGTAAGACCATATAGTTTAGATCTCATATGTGTAAGCTCAACTAGATAATTTTCATGTATCTTCTCCTCCTCTCCTCCAGGGCCCGTCCAAGGAGCAACACTAACTTTCAACAAAAACCTAGTACTTCACAGATGCAAAAGTGATATAAATTATGTTACATGTTTTACACCATCAAATTTCCATTTGTAGATCACTAGATCTTATTATAAAGTTTCATGTGTTTATCAACTTTTTCTAATGAAAGTATAGAAGGGCAGGTGATGTTTGCCGTCCTAAAACCTGTACTTACACTCCAAATTGATTTTTATCTAGCGAAATGATAAAAGTCTATCCCTTAGTTTTAGACTCATGTTCTAGATTAATAATATATCAAATTTGCTCATAGCATTAACAATGCAACACTTCTTATTTTATTCTTGATAAACAACTCCTGCTAAATTTGTATCTAAAGTCAATCATAGCATCATAAACTGCAACAAATATGAAACCATCATGGCGCCAACAGACACAAACAAACAGCAAAATAGAAGTAGTCCAAATTTTATGGCCAGGCATATATAAATTTTGCAAGTGCAGACTTAATTAACAAAAAAGTGAGTTACAAATTTTAGGAGTAAAATAAAAATATTTCTTAAACCAATGGAAAGGTAGCAATTTTCTAGGAAAATGAAACTGCGTCAAGTATAAGAAATAGGAGTGTGAATATCACTCTCTTATAAAGTTGATACCGGATCAAAGTTTAACATTAATCCAAATTACCAAAATCTTTGTTTACAAGGGAGTAGTTAGTTTGTATTGAATATGTACCTTTCACTTTGCATGTTTACTTTGGTTTTCGACTTCTAGATGTACTTTTTGCTCGTATTTGGTTTTAACTCTACCATATTATATTTTCACCTAGAAGGATACGTTATTTTCTATTGGATCCGGGAAGTGTTTTATAATAATAGTTTCTGCTATCAAAAGAACGATTACTTATGTCCATGAATAGACGTTTAAATGCGTCGATAATACAACCAAACACAAATACACAATCACAAAATACTTCTACGACGAAAATACTACGCAAATAACTAACCATCTCTCTCAACAAAGTGTTGCCATCCTTGGTTAACTTGATATCTCCAGCTCCGCCAACAAGCCTTTGAAAGAGTTAATACAAGCAAACGAAAACATCAATGTAAGCAAAAGAAACAACAAAAAAGAGGACGCAGAAACTACGGAGTATGAAAATAAGAATCTAACATCTTGATGGTGCCTTTAGGCCCGAGATTACTCTTGAGGACATCTTGTAAACCCTTGGCAGCATTGATATTCATGTGAAGTGCAGCCGATTTGTTCAGCACTTCGGCATTAGGGTTCAGAACCCGCACAGACATCTTCGATCCTGAGATTTTGAGCAACAAAATCACAAACTCTGAGGTGAAGGAGAAGGGTATGAGCGAGATAGAAGGAAATGTAAGGATCGAGAAGTTACCTTCGATTAGCTAAACACAGACTGGATCTTGCAGACGTAATGATGACGAAGAAGATCAGCAGAGGTGAAGGGAAGGTTGAAGAAAAGTGCGTCGGACGGGAGTTGTTCTGAAGTGAAGCGGGAGACGGTGGAAGAATGTTGGTTTTTAGGGCTTTTCGCCGAATGGTTTTCCCAACAGTTCTTACAGACCACACGGCGTCGTTTGCTAAATTTAATTATATCATATAATAGTTTTATAAATGACATAAATCAATTAAATTATAAATTATTTTATTTATAATCACTTTTACACAATTGCTATATGCACAAATACATGCGTATATAATAATATTAAATTTGAATGAAATATTTGATATAATTGATGATTGTTTGGAAAAAACTCGGTTTGTAATTTATAAACTATGTTTCATTTGGTTCAGAAGATCCTTATGAACTGGCGGAGGCATGATGAAGGTTATTGCAACTACAATGACAGTAAGGAGTAGAGGCGGTGGTGACTAATGGATAGCGATGAATGTGGAGAATGGAGAAAGTGATTAGTGATGATAGGTAGTTGTGGCTGATGTGGTGGAGGTAGATGTAGTGAAGAATGGTGACCGTAGATGATATAAATATGGTGGGCAAGAGTCGTGTTAAAGGTTATTGCGACGGTAATAGTGGTAAAGATATAGTCGGTGGTGGTTGGTGATGAAGGTGATCGTGGAGGGAGTGAAGATGGTGGACAATAGTGGTTGTGACGGCTGGCAGTGGTATAAGATGTAGTTATGGCCGACGTGTTGAATGTAGAAGTGGTGGTGGGTGGTGGTGGTGGTGGTTGTCGGTGGCGTCTGGTGGTGGTAGTGGCAGCAACGATGGGGTGTGTGTAACCATTAAAACAAATATCGTCTTAGGGTTATTTTCAAATGAGGGTAGATTAGTAATTTTTTTAGGTTCGTCTTTGTCTCATTTTGTCCCACCCAATCCAGTTTTGTCTCGTGTTGCGTCAAACGTGGAATGGTGAGTGTTGGTCCCGAAAAAGACGACAATAAACAAAAAGTAATTGTAGATAGGGGTTGAATACAATTACACATACTTTTTTAACTATTTAATTCTTATTGATGAAAATCAACAATTAACACACAAATACACAATAAAGATTGTTGCATAATAAAAAAAAGGATAACATGATCTAAACAATCTTATAGAGAGAATAACTTACAAAAACAACACAAAAAGTACTTGCAAGGAGACGAGGAACATACTAACTTTTTCTTCACACACAATAGAATAATGGAGTAAAAGAGGATAGTCGATTGCATTGACAATGCACTTAGAAATCTTCCAAAGGAAGTCAGTAGTTTGCATGGGAGATGCATACTGACTTTTATATTACCTTCAACATTAAATGCACGGGGACACTTGTCACATGAGGATAAGAAGACATGGATTGACTCGACCATTGTTGATATCTCATTTTCATCGTTCACAGCGTGAATACAACATTGTTCATGCAGAGACAGACTTTTGCAGATATATTGTTAGTATGTAAGAAGATATTCTTTGGATGGATTAGTAGTTTCAAACAACTACTCACGAATCTTCGGTGCATGAAAATCTTCCTCACAAATATTCGGTGCATGAAGATTTTCCTTCAATTTGCTTGTAGCTTCAAAATATTTTTAATCTTCATATCAGCTACACTGGAGTCTTAGTGTGGAAATTAGACAGTTGATCCACATACCGCATCGATGACCTTTTGTCTTCACATCGACTAGTCTTCGATTTTGTCAATGACTTTAAGTATGTATCAAGATACCAATATACAAATAAACCAATAACTACTAAGTGTTGGTATAATAGAGGAACATGTCAGTGGGTCATCACCAAATCAATATGTGACCCAACAATCTCCCCCTATTTGGTGATGGCACAAACACTTAGAAAGAATTAAATGCAAGATACACAAACTCTAAAATTATTTGAGAAAAAAAACTTATAAATTCGATGACCCATGCACATATTATTTTTGGAGATTTTTTTCCCATATTTTAACTATAAACATACATACAAACAAGTAATGAATTAGAGAAAAACAAATAAACAATGAAAATAATTAAAGTAAATACAAAAATATAAATTGCATATATAATAGATAATGAATTTAAATACTTACAGTGAATAATATAGTTTAAGAAGAAAAAGTCACATAGATGGACCAGCTTTATTCAACAAACAGCTTAAGAGATAAGAGTTGTTGAGGGAAGACAGTTTGTAGTGCTTATTGATCATTTGTATCTTGATCAAAGACAAACTCTCCATACATGCTTCTGTTCTTTTTGAGAAAGTTGATTGTTTCCATTCACTCAGATAAAAAAGTATTATGAAGAAAGTTTTTATTTTTTAGAACTCCAGGGGCTTAAATGCTAATTTATGAACCTTAAATGTTTAATGCATATTAAATATTATGGTGCATAAAAGTTAACAAAAACCTTGGTTAGCCTATTGGTTAAGGCGTTGGTTAACTATAGAGAGGCTCGGGTTCATATCCTGGCCTAAGCATAAACCTCCTTTTCCTTTAAAGGAGGGGTTTTGGGTCGGGTCTTGAGCCAACCGACCCGGTTAATTGACCCAACGCAACATCCAGCCATGCTTGTTCGTTTTCATGCATTTTGAGTAAAAAAGGTCACATAAGTATCTCATTTTTTGACCTTTTTTTTTCTTCATTTTTTTTTTTGCACCAAACTCTTATTAAAAAAATTATCAACAATTTGATATAAAGAATACAAATTTTCATCAAAAATTGAATTTCATTTTCTCATTTAAAGTTTTGGTTTTAAACTAAAACTCAACAACCTCAAAACATAAAAATCGAGCCATGTAAACACAAATTTGAGATATGAGGCTGCTGGGGTTTGATAGAGTACTTAAAAACGAAGTCATAGACATAAAAACCATGAGATTTGGTTAAGAATCTCACTCAAATCGGTGAAGAACCGAGATTTTTGATTTCGAACTTCAAACTCAAACTTCTCTCTCAAAACTCGACGATTTTTACTAACTATTTGAATCAAAACGATCATAAGCCGGTGTTCTATATTTATATACAAGAGTTTTGACTTATTAGTTGACGAAATCGTACCAAATCGCAAGTTTTTGGCTGTGGGGTCGTTTTCTCCAAACAAAGAGACGTCTACTGTTGGTAAAACAGGTTCCTCGTCTTTGAAAATGACGATATTCGACCTCTTGAACTTTCTGACATTTACAACCAGACCCCTCCTGATGTGATAATTTACATTTTTGGTCCAACACAAATTAAAAAACCCTTAATACTTTAATTAAGTGACATATTTAGCCCTTTTCAACTCATTCATTTACTATTTTGGTCCAATAAAATAAAATTTCATTTTATTTTATTTTTCCTCTTGCCTTTCTCTTCATTATTTCTTATTTTAAGATTTTTTCAATTATTTTTTCCATTTAGGGGTTGTTTGACAGTTGTTGAATGGTTTGACACATAATGATTAAGTGGTCAAAATGATTAAGATGCTCTCATAAAGATAATAATTAAATATTTTGTTATAACTCAATGATTATCCTGATTATATCTTCATTTTTTTATATTTAAAATGATATGTTTATCCTGTATTTGATTATGTTTATCTGCAGTTAATTACACGAAGCTTTAATAACTTGTACTTACGCACAATCTACTTGTAATCTTAAATTTTAAGTAACATGCATTAATAATCAATACTTTATGTACAAAAAGTGATTTTTAAGAGTTTTTGTCAAATGTTTTATAATATAGTATAGATATGCATGCGTAAATGTGTTCTCAAATGCTATTACAAGCTTTAATTCCAAGTATTACACAATTATTTGGTGATCTGATCTTATGTTCATATTTGATGGGTTTTTATGCGTTTTTGGGTAAATCTTCATATCGAGACCATGATAATGAATATTTATGTGATAAATAAATGCCTAATGTGATAGTTTATTATGGATTAGGCTGACTATCTTAGCGTTTTACGAAAAGTCATATTGGTTGGGATTTTGACCCAAAGTTGGGATTTTACTTATAGATAGTAGTCTCATGAGTTTGAATGAATCTGTGAAGGTATTGGCAACTTACATGACATAATGAATGAGTAATTATCTAAATATGGATTAATTGGATATTTTCATGAAGTCTTATGTATGGATGAACCTTTCAAGAATGTACTAGGAGGGTTGAGTGTTAAGGTGTTACTTGATGGATAGATACTAAGATCTCCGCCGTTTGAGGTGTTACCTTTGAGATAGATACTAAGTGTGCTGAGCCTTGAGTTGGAATTCACAAGAATATACATCAAGGACAACCGACTCTTGAGGTGAAACTTATTAAGTAGTCGTTAGGACACTTGGACTGTAAGTCATGGTGTGTCATGTGACAACATTGTTTGAGTGACATGCTTTCGTGTTCCTGTCACTATCTATGGATATGGGTCTCCCCTTGAATTCCACCTAAATGTCATACTTAACTTATAAATGGGTTTAAACTAATTTTGTTGCAATTGTTTGCTGTATGTTCATCCTCACTAGACTTTTTGGCCTGACATTTGTTTTGGTGTTGACGTGTATCTTAGGTTCTAGTGGCGTGATCGCCAAGTAGGTTTGACCAGTTCTTTAGAGGAGAGCCTGGGAGCACTTTTGAGGCACCACCATTTTAAGTTATTTTGGTGGTTTAGGTGACACCCAAATTGTATTCTTCTTTCTTTATGGGATTAGATTAGGAGGTTGTTATCCTCATAACCCATTGTTACAAATTATGATTTAACAGACGTATTTAAGTTCCCTTTTGTGAAAGGCTCATATTTTGATTCTTATACACCACATTTTCGTCTTTTTCAAAAAAAATTGTAGTCCCATTTTTTGGGTGTTACAAAGAGCATATCTAACAGACTCTTCAAATTTCTTAAAAAAATGGAGAAACAAAAGTCAAAATCTCAAATAAATTACATCTATCTCTAACAGATTTCCCATTTTAATGAATCCAATATTGATTATAATATTAAAATATTATTTTCCTCTCTAACTATTTTTCAAACTTTTCTACTGATGCTCTCAATTGGTAATCATTTTTGGGATGATCTCTATATTTGGAGAAAAAACTCTTCTATCTCGTATCTTTTCCATTTTGAAGAAACTGTTGGAGTAAAATATTAGTTCAAAATCCTTATTTTCTCCATTTTCCCATCTTAAAAATGTTATTACAATTCTCACTCTAACTCTTATTCTATAGGATTAATCGTTTAAATTAGACAAGATCACAAAATTCATCATCCAATCAAATGAAATCAATTCCACCAAAGACTTCAACCATAAAACCCATATTTTCCAACAATGGTTCTTAAATTTTTCATATTATCTATACTATCTATACTATATTATAATGCATTTGGCTAAAACTCTTAAAAACTCTTAAACTCTTAAACTCTTAATCTCTTAAACCCACTCATCCCTAAACGATTTCATCCCTATCCGATTTCATCCCATAACTGAATTCGTGTAACTAGCTAACTGTAGATAAACACAATCCAATACAGGATAAACATCTCATTTTAAATATAAAAAATCTAAAATATAATTAGGATAATCATTGAGTTCTAACAAAATACTTAATATTATCTTTACAAAATGTTATATTATTAAACCAAAAATAAATTATTTCATTATTAAACTTAAATTAAATTAAAAAAAAATTTATACTATATTATAAAGCATTTGACAAAAACTC